TTTTTTAAAGAAATAAAGCTAACTTTCTTATTTTCATTTTAATCTCTGTACTGACTTTGGGTTCTTGTTTGTGTGCATTACAGCCTGCTGTTCTCTATACCAGCATTGCAAAAGGGTGAGAGAGACGTCAACTGGATATTATTTTTCATTGCTTTGATTTCTTTCTTATGCTTCAGTTTCATTACACCTTCATCATGGTTTCAGGTGTCGTTAATCATACAGGATCCTAGTCGTGTGAACGACGAAGTGATGAGCTTTGCCTTTTTGTGTTCATTGCTTCTTCTTTTTTTTTCTTTTTTTTTCTTTTTCTGGTTTTCTGGGGTCATTTTCATTTTTCTGTCAGACATATCGACAAACAGTTGATCAAGCAAGCTACCGGGAAAATCTAGGGTTTTTTGTTGATGTTAGTCAAGTCTTATGGTGTTTTTCAGCGATTTTCCCAGGTGGGGCTTAGCTAGAAAAGGATCAAACGAATGTGTGAGTGTAAACTGCTAAGTGTGAGCTTATTTGTTTGTTTTTTTTATTTAAAAAGGTGGACCTTTTTTGTCTTGTTCCGCTTCTGTTTTCTTATTTTCTCTCTCTTACGTTCTTTAGAGATAAAACAGAAAACGTCTTCTACAAACAGATAGATACCTTGCAGTCATGCATGGGCGTTAACGAGTAGAGGCGTTTTTTTTCTTCATTTCTTTCACCATCGGAGGAGATGGAGTTGTTCAAAAAAGGTTTAGACTTTATGGAAAAGAAAAACGAAACTGGAGATTTTCTTTCTTGGGGTGTCTGTTTTTTTCCTTCCAAAGTTAATTTGTGTTTGGGGTTTGTTCAAGGATTATTGTGCTGATATCGTTCAACAACATGCTAAATGGTGATGATGCCATTGTTATTCCCGTAACTATGCAAAGCTTCCCTTCCCTGTTTATCCCCTATGTATTACCTTGTCTCTCTCTCCTCCTCCCCCATGCATTGTCATTTCAATATATATATATTATTATTACCTACTTTATTATAGTTTGTGTTGATCTTTTGCTTTGTGACTTTGTGTTTGTTATTTATTTAAGACAAGTCATTTAATTTTGATTGACTTGCTTTTGGTGCAGAAAACAATGGATCAGTTGGGGGAAAACTTTGATCCCAGTCTAGTTGGGAGGATGAGGGAAGCTGAAAATGAGAGTAGGTCCGGAAGTGATAACATGGAAATTGCTTCAGGTGATGGTCAGGATGCTGCTGCTTCTTCTAATGGACGCCGGCCGAAGAAGTACCATAGACACACTCCACACCAAATCCAAGAGCTTGAATCGTATGGTTGCTTATCTTTCACTTCTTTGACTGAATCTTTTATTTGTTATTGAACTTTACATCTTTGCGTTTCTTGTGTTTGTTATATAGTTTCTTCAAGGATTGTCCTCACCCTGATGAGAAGCAAAGGCTGGAACTTAGCAGGAGGCTTGGCCTGGAGATCAAGCAAATCAAATTTTGGTTTCAGAACAGGAGAACCCAAATGGTCAGTTTATGATAAACCTTTTGGTTTTGGTAGTCTTGATGTGGTTGTGTTCTAATCTTCAGTTCGAGATTGCTAATGATGGTGATCTGTCGTTTAAATTAGACCCAATTGGAGTGCCATGAGAATATGATTCTTAGACAAGAGTGTGATAAACTCCGAGCCGAGAATGATTACTTGAAGCAGGCCATGGCTAACCCGGTATGCAACAATTGTGGTGGTCCAGCGGTTCCTGGTGAAATATCTTATGATCAGCACCAACTTCAGATGGAGAATGCTCGATTGAAAGAAGAACTAGGCAGGGTTTATTCTTTAACGAGCAAGTTCTGGGGCTGGCCTTCCTCGACCTCGGCCGGTCCTATTCCTTCCCAAGGCTTAAACTCCAATCTGGAGCTCGGGTGGGGAGAAATGGTTTTGGTGGCTTGAACAATGCAGGAGGCACCTCATTGCCTATGGAATTCAACTTTGGTGATGGAGCTATGTTGCCGAAACCTATGGCCAATGACATGCCATATGACAGGTCAGCTGTCGTAGATATTGCTTTGGGGGCTTTGGGTGAATTGATTAAGTTGGCACAGGTCGATACTCCTCTTTGGATCCAAGGCTCGGATGGTTCTTTGGAAACATTGAATCTTGAGGAGTATAGTAGAACTTTCCCCTCTTTCATTGGAATGAAACCAAGTGGTTACCAAACTGAGGCTACAAGGGCAACTGGCCTGGTTTCCTTGCGTGGGTCGGCTCTCGTTGAGGCATTAATGGATGCGGTATGCTGCTCAATCACTCGTTAAATATAACTTCTTATCCGCCGTTACTATCGACCGAATCTTTAATAAAGTAATATTGTTAGAAAATGTTTGTTTGACATTATTTTTCTGTTACTTTATGAATAGAATCGTTGGGTAGAAATGTTTCCCTGCTTGGTTTTTAAAGCAGCAACCATCGATGTGCTATCCACCGGTGCAGGTGTAACCAGAGACAATGCATTGCAAGTGGTAGGTTTTCTAACATCTATCTTTGTTTCTTTTGCCACTTAACCGGGCCTAATGAAAACCATACTTTGCAGATGGATGCTGAATTTCATGTGCTTTCTCCATTGGCTCCAGTCCGTCGACAGAGATTCATCCGGTTCTGCAAACAGCATTCGGAGGGTGTGTGGATTGTGGTTGATGTTTCAATCGATGCCACTCGTGATGCCGCAGATAAGTATGCGTTTCTCAACTGCAGGAGGCTCCCTTCTGGCTTTGTCATCCAGGATCTGGACAACAAGTACTCCAAAGTAATTGCCAAACTTAATTTTATTACTTTCTCTACTATACATTTAAACATATCATCATATGATCTTAATTTAAGATCATCATCATATACTTTGGAACACAAAAGCGTTACGACAATCTTTCTAAGTTTTTGTAATGCTCGTGTGTTTTTAATCATTAAATGCAGGTTACTTGGATCGAAAACTCGGAATACGATGAAAGCGCAGTTCACCATCTCTTGAGGTCATCACTCAATGTCGGTTTAGGCTTTGGTGCACACAGGTGGATTGCTACTCTCCAAAGGCAAAGTGAATGCTTGGCAGTCCTAATGTCGGCTGACATTCCTAGTGAAGATAATATAGGTAATTTTTTCCCAACTGCTACATTATTTTCTTTCATCTTTGACGATAATACGCGGAGTCTTCCTCATCTAATACATGATGTTTTGCTATAGGAATAACATCGGCAGGACGGAAAAGCATGCAAAGCTTGCGCAACGGGTGAATCCACGAGATAATGTTCTCGAACTTTTTTATTCACGAGATAATGCACATCCCAGATTAATTGCTGAAATGGGGTGAATTCTACAGTGAGCTTAGAGGTCGCCATGGCATCCGGGCGTCGCCATGGCATCCGGGCGACCTGTGGGGTGTTTTGCAAAGAATAGGTCGCCATGCAATCAAATAGTGTGGTGTTTTCAGATTCAATTTTTAAAGCATTTTTAGTCTATTATTATATTTTATTTACATTTATTTATAATATACCTTTAGGTATCTTTGTTTATCTGTTTAATTTTTAAGATTAAGAGAGTTGTGTGTATATATAGAAATTTATTATTGAATTTAGGGCATCCGAGGCCATCCGACCGAGGCCATCCGAACGAGCTATGCGAGGGCATCCGAGGGCAACTGAGCGAGCTATGCGAGGGAATCCGAGGGCAACCGAGCGAGGGTAGGTCGCCCGGAGTACATGGCGACCTACAAGGTCGCCCGGAGTGCATGGCGACCTACGGCCAACACTGTGCAATTCGCCTTACTTCAGCAATTAATCTTGGGAGAATGTTATCTCGTGAAATAAATAATTCCAATACATTATCTCGTAGATTTAGCCATTATTCACGACATATGGCTAGGGAATAAGTTCTTAGTTATTATGAAGTGGCTGCTACTGGCTCTTGAGATCGTCGTTTCGTTCTTCATGAATTTTACTTTTCTTAATTTCGTTATGAACTTTCATAAACAATAAAATGTTTGTCAACTAATTGATGCCTATTGCTGTTTTTCTTCCTTTTTAGGTTAGAGAGCAGATTCTCTAAGTGGGAGAACAGCTCTACGTTTTGCTGCTGTAAATGTACATGTGAGATGCATAAGACTAGTTGTTGCTGATTTTGTTCCTTGTGCTCCTTTTGAAGCTATAAACAACCAAATATAAGGTGAAAGAGGGGATGGTTCTGGTGTGAGGAGCAAAAACGATCGGAGGTGTGTATCCCGTTACTTAACTCGATCAGCATTTTGTTCTGTTGGCTATGAGATCAATTTAAACGAGAATTAGGTCCAGGATTCATTGCGTGTAATATTGTGAAAAGGGTTAATGAGAGAGGATCTTTTACAGAAGAAACTCGGTTTTGGCGTGTACGACTTATTGATGCTCATCACAGACATTTCTCCCTGTGATCTCAATTGCTATGGAATTAATCAGCCTTCTATGCGAAAAATGATGTTGGTTTTGTGCTAATTATTTAACTTTTTACCATGCAATGCACTGTCCAAGTTTGTAGATAAGCCAGCCGATGGTGGGATTACTGCTCTTCATATGGCAGCATTGAATGGGTATTTTGATTGCGTACATCAGTGGATCTAATAGGTATGGTTTTCTTTTTTATCGTTTAGTGGATGATCGCCTTCTGATTTGAACGTGGTTATTGTTTTTACGGGCAGAAGAGGGAAGCACTCCTTTGCATTATGCTGCTTGCGGCGGAAACTTGAAGTGTTGCCAGGCAAGGCTTATAAACAATGGTTTTGGATCTATTTGTTACATGCATTGAATACGATTTAATGTTATTCTTTTGTCTGCAGATCCTTCTAACAAGAGGAGCCAGTAGAATGACTTTGAATTGCAACGGGTAAACTGTCTTTCTTTTATCTCATTTTGCTCGTTTCTTTGGCCTTGTTTGGTTGTTATTCCAGTTCTGAACCTGTCATGGTTAACAGACAGCATTATCTGCATTTTCGCTGCCGCTTGATGTTGCCAGGATGTGGGGTCGTCATTGGCTTGAGCCCTTGTTGGCTTCTAATTCGGACACAACCATACCTAGATTTCCTTCTTCCAACTACTTGTCCTTGCCTCTTTTGAGTGTGCTTAATATGGTAGAACAGTTGGATGCTTTAGGTTTTATCAATTGGGGTGCATGGCCTTCATTTAGACTATTGTTTGTAGAGAATGTTGGTTGCAGTCCTCAACAACCTCTTCAGATGATGCCGACACTTGTGCTGTCTGCCTTGAGAGAGCGTGTGGTGTTGCTACGGAAGGTATGTCATCAACTTGCTGCTTTCATAACTTGGGTTCTGTATTCTGATTAGCAACTGTAAGGTTCCCCGTTCTGACCAGAAGGCCACAGGTTTGAGTCATGGAAAAATGCCTCTTTGGAGAGTGCAAGGGCAGGGGAGTGTACTATAAACGACCCTCACGCAACCCTCGGAAAGTGGGGAGCCTTGTGCACCATTGAATGCCCTTTTCGTTCCTTGTAATATAAAGGTCCCTCGTTCAAATGTAGGCACTGATCAATTCATTTATCGTTTCAAGATGCAGGCACGGGCTATGCGTAAGTTGTGCACTTTATCTGTGCTCAACGAGCCAATTTCCTTCCGATATGGTTGCCCCAACTGGGTCAATCCCATGCCCCCTCTGTAGACATGCCATTCTCTCCTTTGTGAAATTGCCGAGTTCACCCAGAAAAGAAATTAAACTACAGCTCTCCTTTGGCCTCTGTACACCCTGCATGCTTCATCCCCGCAATGCAGATTGCCCGTCACAAAATTCAGAGATCAGAAAGAATCGTGTTTCATTGGTCTCTTCGGACATTTTCTGTCGAGCTACCTGTAGTCCATTTCCTTCTGTCGCCATCCCTTTATGCACCTGTAATGACAGCCCTTGCCCCTCTTTCGAACACCTAGAGACAGCAGAAACACAAGAAGAATCCCTGAGGCGTTCACAAGTCATGTCAATCGAACAGGATAAAATCAAAGGATCAAGACTGGAAAGAAGAACATGTTCAAGCATGTTTTGGGGCAGAAGGAGCTGCAGTAGAGAGCATCAATGTAATTCAGAAATAAATGCTTGATTGGTTTCATCAATGAGGTTTTGGGGTTGTATTCTGTAACTATTACAAGTTGAAGAAAATTTTAATTTTTGTTACCATTGAATTCTATTTAGCATTTATCACATAAAAGAAAGGAATATTGATAATCATTGAAGAAATGCGTCGTTTGAAGATGACCCTCGTTGAGTTTCAGCCTGAAGATCTGGGCATTGTTTTCATCGAACTCGAACTTGTAGTCTTTAGATTTGTTCCACTTTTTGAGCTCCACATTGGTTCTCGACAGAAAAGATAGGTAACCATCGAGTCCGGGACTTGAACCAGAGTCGGAAGGTCTACGAATAGCGGCTCTAACACGGGATGTTTCTTGGCTGACGTTTTCGGCTTGGATATAAGTGTGGAGACCGTGGAGAAATAAAACCGGGATTTTGAGGATTAGCGTGAGGGATACAGAGAGTGAGGTCTGGAGTATGAGATTGTTGTAATCTTGAAAGGGTAACATCGTTCTTCGATGGACAGAGAGATTGTAAAGGTTTAGGCAAAGGGTCGATTTAGAGGCAAAATTACAAATAACAATGTTTTATTAAGAAAGCACATGTAAGAACAACTGAACAAGTAACAGGATACAAAGTAGTATTATGTTAAAATTCCTCAAGTGTTGCTTTCATAACTGGCGTAGTGCTGTTTGGATCAATCTCAACCGTTGCCACATATTTATACTTATGCACACTAGCAGGTTTGGAAGTAGATGTATTTAGCTGCGATTGAATCGCAGACCAAACAACTTTTTCATCACCTTGAATACTATCAATCTAGTCTTTTTTTTAAATACTATCAAACCAGGTGAATCAATCGAATCAAAACAACAATTAAATAATTACATTTTATCATAAACCAATAACAAGTTTCTATTAAACTATTATTATACCTGAAAAATAATATAAGATTTATAAAAGAAGAACAAGTAATTTAAGATGATAATAAAGATTAAAATGATAAAAAAAAATTAAATATGCTGAATTTTTTCTCAAAATTACGTAGTAAGACAAGCGATCTGCATGTTTGACTTTAATTTGATTATTATTATTATTACTTTAAATAGTTTATAATTATTATAAGATAATATATGTTCAAATTTTTTTAATATATTGATGATATATATACCCTAAAGACATAATTATTCAAGCACAAAGCTTATAAAAAGAATAATCTATCCTTTTATCGCATATATTAGACGATGGATTCAAATTTAGTTATTTCTAATTTTATTGTAAGACTGTAAATGTCTGGATATTAGCGTGTCACATGTATGACATGTTGACTTTATTATTTAGCTAGCCACTAATGCAGTAGATTTTTAATTTAATTTAAATATTTTTTTTATTAATTGATAGTATATAGTATTGATTTTCTTCCATAAAAAAACTCATTAACAACATGATTATAATAGGAATAATGCTAAAAATAGCCTCCAATGTTTTTCTTTGAGATAAAAAGCTCACTCCATAGATGAAAACTACAAAATAACACATGATTAACACTAAAAAAATAGGAGTTTTTTTAACCTAAAATGAAACGTTGAGGGCTAAAATGCCCCAGAAAAAAGGACAAAATGATTATTTTGTCAAATGTTAGGAACATTTTTTGCCCTAAAATAAAACGTTGGGAGTCAAAATACTCCAAAAAATAGAATATGGTGTAAAATGAAATTTTTCATAAACGTTGGAACTAATTTTGACATTATGTCATTATAATAATATAATAGTATAAGTGATCGAATAATAGTATATATTTTAATAAGAAGTATGATTTCGGTTCAATCATTTTATATATTTATTTATTTTTACTTAATTATCTTTTTTTTAAAATAAACATTGAGATAAATATAATATAGTATCTACACATATTTTACCGAAGCAATTGTTCAAATTTAAATTCTTTAAAAAATAATACTTCTTTCTATTACTAAAAACATTCAATACATTCTTAAAAAGTATTTTTAAATATAAACAATTAATTGACTCATTATTAAAGCTCGTTATTGTTGTCCAAAAAATCAGCCGGAAGTGTTGTGGTTGAGCTTGTTATTCTTGGGCGTCTCCACCTGCTACTTCAGAAAATATCCTTGCTCGCGACTTTAGGAGTTACCACGCAGCATCCTAGCTATTGCAATTTGTCCACTGTGTTGGGAACATTCAATTAAAAAAAACTTTTATTGTTGTAATATTTTTATATGTATCCATTGATTATTGATGTGATATATATATATCATCTTATTATTTTAAAAATATGTTATATGTCAAATTATTATTTTTAATATTATGATATATATCGCAATAAGGATATCACATCAATAATGAATGATTAATTTGATAAAAAAATATAAAATATTAAAATATTTTATAAAAATAAAGATAAAAGTAACCGTTCAAACAAATGTTAAGAATATATTTTGACATTATAAATATATATTTTCATAAAAGTAATAAAATATCTCATTAAAAATTCCATTTATAATCTTGAAAACAAAATAAAAAACACAAATTTATCAACCTCATAAAATACATAGTACATGTATTTAAAACATAAAACATACCCAAGGTACATGCAAACCCCAATATCATAAGAAAATAAGAAGAAAAATGAGCAACACCTCTTGTCGGAGTAGATAGAAAAAGGCCACAGAAGCGTTAAAGAAGCACACTGCAATCTCCCCTACCGAGAATTACCATCAACCATAATCAACAAAGTAGATAACGACATTGTCGAAATGACATCCAAATAGAGACCCTTCAATCCAATCGAAGCAACAGCACCTAACTTGATTTTTGTAGGGTCTTTAATCCGCAACTCTCTTTTTGTGGTGATTGAAAGATAGAGACAGATGCTACAATCCTTCACCGAGGTCACGTTAAGTGGACGACATTCTTCAAGTTCACTTGAAAAGAATTGGTTCAATATTTGTGGTGTGGAATGCGGCTAAGTTAGGTGGACTCAATTATGACAATGAGGATGTTTCATGACAACAAAATCGAGCGAATAGATAAATTCAGCAACGAAATTAATTTCCGACATCGTTGCTGACACAATGTCTCCGTTTCTTCTTGTAATTCTCTTCTCCCTGTCATATAAAAGTAGTACTTCAGCTCAGCCTGCTGAGCAATTTCTTCATGCCTGTCCCTTGGTGTTGAGTTCTTCAATCGTTTACACTCAATACAGTCCTTTCTACTTCTCTGTTTTGAAGTCATCTGCTCGGAATTTCAGGTTAACAACACCATCTACTCCCATGCCATTGGCCATTGTTACACCACTGCACACATCCCACCTCCAAGCAACAGTCTATTGTTGCAGGAAACATGGACTGTAACTCAGAGCTCGAAGTGGGGGTCATGATTTTGAGGGTCTTTCTTATTCTACTACAGCTTATAATGCCCCCTTCGTCGTGATCGACTTGGTGAATATTCTATCTTTTCGGGTTAATGTGGGAAAAAATACAGCATGGGTTGAATCTGGTGCGACCATTGGTGAATTGTACGATGAATTGCTCAGAGAAGTAGAACTCTTGCATTTCCGGCTGGTATCGGTCTCACTGTCGGTCTCGGTGGACATTTGAGTGGAGTAGGCTATGGAATATTGTTTCGGTCTTGCTGCAGATAATGTAATCGACGCTCGTTTAATCGATGTTGAAGGGAGAATTCTTGATAGAAAATCGATGGGAGAAGATTTGTTTTGGGCCATCCGAGGAGGTGGTGGGGGTAACTTTGGGATCGTCCTTGCTTGGAAACTTCGATTAGTCCCGGTTCCAGCTAATCTTACTGTTTTTACGGTCACGAAACGTTAGACCAAAAGGCGATCCAACTTGTTCATCAATGGCAGTCTATTGGGAACAAGTTTCGCAGAGAAATGCACACGACCATTGCCATATCAAGGGCGATCAAGTCAAGTGAAGTTGAGAAGATGATGATTCAAGCAAGTTTCATATCCATATTTCTCGGTAGCACTGATGAGCTTGTTTCATTGATGGAAGAGAAATTCCCAGAACTTGGAATCGTGAAAGAAGATTGTTTCGAAATGAGTTGGGTCGAATCAAATCTCTACGCCACCTACTCAAACTCAGCGACGTTACTGAATAAGACTGGCAAGTCAGCTCTCTCAAACTCGTTCTTCAAAGCAAAATCGGATTTCGTAAAACAACCGATTCCAGAAGCGGCGCTCGAAGGATTGTGGCCCAAGTTTTACGAGGAAGAATCAGAATCTGCAGTTATGATATTGGTGGCTTATGGTGGAATAATGGATGGGATTCTTGAGACGGAATCTCCATATCCTCATCCTCACAGAGGTGGCATCCTCTACAGTATCTTATATGTGGTGGATTGGTAGGAAGATAAGGATATAAACTCGGAAAGGTACATGAGGTGGATGAGCGGAGTTTACGATTACATGACTCCATATGTTTCGAAATCTCCAGGAGAAGCATATGTTAATTACAGAGATCTCGACATTGGGGCTGATGGAATTAAAAGCGATGATGACCGGTACAGGAGAGCCTGCATTTGGGGTTCCAAATATTTCAAGAACAATTTCAACAGATTGGTGCATATAAAGACGGAAATGGATCCTGATAACTTTTTTAGGCATGAACAAAGCATCCCTCCGCTTTCACGTTTGTTGAAGAAAGTAGCAAACTGGAGCAACCATGGAAGCTTGCAAGATCAGATATGACCAGCCTTCTCTGAAATTAGTTCCATCCTAATTTCCTGAATAAAGCACGTATCCACTTTATTTCTTCTAACCATGTCCCTATGTTACAATATGAGAATGAAGGAGATAGATCACAACAGAGAAGAATGGAGAAAGAGAGAGAGCATTTTCAGAGGTTTATTGAATTAACCGTAACATCTCCAATAGAGATCGGTCACCTTATATACTAGAGAACAGTAATATTAGTTTAGAGAGTGGAAACTAACAATCATCTTAACCAGTCCTAACTAACCATAACCGCAAGACTAAGAGCTTAGTACAACAGTGAACCACCCTAATTAACTTCTACTTCTTAAGCTCTTGACTAAAAACATTCTCCTTGCATTCTTTAGCTTCTAAATCCTGCTTCCTTGCTTTTGTTTGCTGAGAAGAACAAAATAGTGACCAAACAAACAATATTCATGTTGACATAGGTAAAACAAAAAGTTTGTCGCGATGACGATAAAAAAACAACGCTGATAACGGCTTAGTCATTACATTCGTTGTTTGTTCATAGGCTGGAACCTCATTCACCCGCAGCGTTCCAGCTATCACTTTCTCACGAACAAAGTAGAGATCTAGTTCTACATGCTTGAATTTTGACTGCATAACAGGGTTTGCCGAAACAGCAACGGTACTTGAATTATCACACCAGAGTGTGGGTTTTCCATCCAGAACAATGTGTAATTCACTGAGTAGAGACTGAAGCCATATAATTTTAGTTGTCGCACACGCCACACTGTGATATTCGGCTTCAGCAGTCGATCTAGACACAACTTGCTGTTTCTTCGAACCCCATGAGATGGAATTTCCTCCAAAATAAATACAAAAACCTGTAGTAGACCGTCGATCAACCAGATCAGAATCCCAATCAGCATCAGCAAAACTGGTTATCGCTAGTCGTGAAGAACCAGAAAACTTCAAGCCATAGTGAAGTGTTCCTTGGAGATACCGCAGAATTCTTTTAACAGCTTCAGAATCCCAATCAGCATCAGCAAAACTGGTTATCGCTAGTCGTGAAGAACCAGAAAACTTCAAGCCATAGTGAAGTGTTCCTTGGAGATACCGCAGAATTCTTTTAACAGCTTGAAAATGTACATCGAATGGGGATTGCATAAATCGACAGACCCGATTCACAGCAAACGCTATATCAGGCCGTGTAATTACTATATGCTGTAATGCTCCGACATTGCTCGTATAATCTGCCACATTCATAATTGTACTTTCATCTTGAATCGACAATTTACAGTTACTTACCATCAGCGGTGGTAGACTTCTAGCACTCTCAAACTCAGTTTTTTCTCAATAATTCTCCAATGTATTTGCTTCGATTCAAGAACAATTCATCTTCAGTGTAGCACACTTTAATACTAAGAAAATAGTTTAGAAGACCAAAACCCTTAAGTGAAAAAACTTTATCCATATCAGAGATTACTAAAACTTTATCAAGATTAGAGATTACTTTTTGAATTTCAGCATCGTTATCACCGGTAAGTATTATATCATCGACGTACACAAGAAGATATAACACACCTTAAGCCGTTTTTCAGAAAAATAAAGAAGCATAAGATTTTAACGGCTTAAAACCTTCCGAAACCAAAGAATCTCTCAACTTCTCAAACCATGCTCGAGGTACCTGCATTAAGCCATAAATGACCTTGTTTAGTTTACAAACTAAACTTTTATTACCTTGTTCGAACCTCGGAGGCTGAAGCATGTATACTTCCTCTGTCAAATCCCCGTTTGGAAAAGCATTATTAATATCAATCTGTCGTAACTTTCATCCTCTCGTACTCGGATATTCCAAGACGACACCCAAGTCCTTGGAAATTAATTTGTTTATATTATACTCATAGAGTCTTAACTGAATTAGTGAAGTTCTTATTACAATATAAAAATAAATAAAAAAATCCATCAAGTATTACTAAACTTTAAATAATATATTATTAAATTTTCAATTCCTTCAATTATGATACTAAATTTTGATTTTAATTTCAATTATATCACTTGACCGCTAAATTGTAACGGTACAATGGCATGCGTGAATTTTTTAGTTGCTATGATGATGTGGACAAAACGATTTCATTTTAACCATTGAATATTTTCGGTCATCGCTGGCAACCAATTGCCGCCTGTCATCAGTCACCATACTTGACAAGATCGATATAAAAGATGTTCACATTCACCCCTCTTTCTTCTAATTGAGTTTGTTTTCCATAAAATCCACTCAAAATCGACGAAAATCGATCTAAAGATTCGATGTGCTAATCCTCTAATCTCCTTCAATGGTCGTTTGATGAGACTAATCTTGAGGTATGTTGTTCATCTTCTCGAGATAATGCTTCTCACTGTTCAAAATTTTAAACAAACACCTCAAACACTTCAAATCTGATAAAGCCCTCAAACCCCTAAAAATGATGGTTTTTATTATTATTTAATTTTATCAATTTTGGGTGGATTTTGTGGAGAACCAATCCTAGGAGAAGAAAGATGAGTAAAATACGAACATTTTGATATCAATCTTGTCGAGAAGGGAGACCAGTAATAAGCGGTGATTTAATGTCAGCAACGGCGAAAAAGGTACAGTGCCTAAAAGTGAAATATTTAAAAGTTTAATGCAAAATCGCTATACCCCTAAAGGTTAATGTAGAAAATAATATCATTTTACATTCCTTAATGAATAAACACGAACAAGAAATTCCATTCGTTTAGTTGTTTGTGTTCATTCGTTTGTTCGGCTATAATTAAACGAACGAACATGAATATAGTTTCGTTCGTGTTTCAATTCGCTTACCTACCTACCTACCGTCTAAAATTCAATAATATCTTAAATAGTTTATCATTTTAAAAAATATATATTAAACGTGTATTAGGTTGGAACGTATATTAACCTACTTAAAAAGAATATTGTTTATTAGTAAACCTCGTAAATTGGCTTTAGTAATTCTTAACTTTGTATATTGTCCAATAAAGACAGGTGAAACAGTGGATTAGTACTAATAATTTTCCTAACAAAGGCAACTTGTTTTGCATGTTCTAATATTTTTCCAATATTCTTCTACCTACTTGATATAAAAATTTAGTATACATGCTTCTAAACCGAAATCATCAAGATTAGGTACTCAGCAATTATCCATCGGACCATCACCAACTCCATACATCATTCTCAATATTTTAATTCTCACATGTGCTGTTGATTGAGGTTTTGTCAAATCTAGACTTGCACGTTTAAGGTACTTTTTTTTTTATTTCATTCAAAATAAAGATTTAGTACCTCCTCGGATGTAGCTTTATAAATGATTTCTATGCACACAGAAATGAAATTAGTTTTCTCACTTTGTTACTCGTAAAATGTTTCAATTTCTTCTAGCTATTCTCTTCTCCTTGTCATGGAAAATTACTACCTCAGCTCTTCCTGCTGAGGACTATCTCCATTGCCTTTCCCTTCGTTTTGAGAACTCTTCTTCCATCGTTTACACACAGCACAATTCTTCCTACTACTCTGTTTTGAAATCATCTGCTCAAAATTTCAGGTTCACGACACCGTCAACTCCTACACCTTTGGCCATTATAACACCACTGCATGCGTCCCACATCCAAGCTGCAGTTTATTGTTGCAGAAAACTTGGTCTGCAAGTCAGAACTCGAAGTGGGGGTCATGACTACGAGGGTCTTTCTTATATGACGGCTTATAAGGTTCCGTTTGTGGTGATTGATTTGATGAATCTTCGATCGGTTCATGTTAACGTTGATGAAGCTACAGCATGGGTTGAATCTGGTGCAACTATTGGTGAATTGTACTATGAGATTTTTCAGAAAAGTAGAACTCTTGCCTTTCCGGCTGGTATCGGCTACACAGTCGGTCTTGGTGGACATTTGAGTGGAGGTGGCTATGGTTCGTTGCATCGAACATATGGTCTTGCCGCAGATAATGTACTCGACGCTCGTTTGATTGATGTTAAAGGAAGAGTTCTTGATCGAAAATCTATGGGAGAGGATTTGTTTTGGGCCATTCGAGGAGGTGGTGGGGGAAGTTTTGGGATCGTCCTTGCTTGGAAACTGAAATTAGTCCCAGTTCCAGCTAATGTTACTGCTTGTAGAGTCACCAAAACGTTAGAGCAAAACGCGACCAAACTTGTCCATCGGTGGCAATATATTGCGCACAAACTCCCCGTAGATATGCACACCGGCATTACCATATCAAGGGCAAATTCAGGTGAATATGAGAAGATGACGCTCCGAGCAACTTTCAGTTTCGTATTTCTTGGAAGCATCGATGAGCTGCTTCCATTGATGGAAGATAAATTCCCTGAACTCGGATTAGGGAACGGAGATTGCTTCGAAATGACTTGGGCTGAATCTAATCTCTATCTTGTACGACTCCCAATCGGTGTACCATTGGAAACTTTACTTAATAGGAGTTCAGAAACAGTTCTTTCGAAATTGTTCTTCAAAGCAAAATCCGACTTCGTAAAACAGCCTATTCCTGCAACTGTGCTTAAAGGATTGTGGGCCAAGTTCTATGAGGAAGAAGCCAAAACAGCAATAATCACATTTGTGGCATACGGTGGGAAAATGGATGAGATTTCTGAGACTGAAACTCCATTTCCTCACAGAGCTGGTAACCTATACGGCATCATGTACGTGGTGAATTGGAAGGAAGAAGAAGATATAAACTCTGAAAAGTTCATGGGTTGGATGAGGAGAGTTTACGATTACATGACACCATATGTTTCGAAATCTCCACGAGAAGCTTATGTAAATTACAGAGATCTTGAGATCGGGACTAATGAAATTAACGACCACAAAGGAAGCTATGCACAAGCCAGGATTTGGGGTCTGAAATATTTTAAGAACAATTTCAACAGGTTAGTGCATGTAAAGACAACAGTTGATCCAGAAAATTTCTTCAAGCATGAACAAAGCATCCCTCCACTTTCACATCTGTTGAAGAAAGGAGCAAACTGGAGCAGCCTTAATAACCATGGAGACTTGTAAGATCAGATATAGTTTCTTTGACAAGTTTTCTATTGATGAATTATGAGTTATTGTGATAGTTTATCATAGTTTTGGGCAAGTTTCTTTATCTAATTCGATAATCGGCTAACCGATGTCAGGTATTGTTTTACCAAAGAAATAAAATGGAATAAGTCTAATAAATAATACCAATGAGCTACTGTGTTTACTATAGTAGTTTCAGTCAATTCATGCGCTCTCCAACTTGAGGGGCAGTACATAGAATTCTTAAATGCTAGAAGGGGACACCTGTTACAGGATTGCTATTTAAAGATCATGGCCATCTATGGATTGTCGGGTATAATGATGCTGAATGGGGTGGTTTGGAATTGCGCAGAAACTTAATTTAGAGATAAAAACAAACTCTAGGAATATGATAGTTGTTGTGGTTTGAGAAATTAGTCAGACCTAAAGGCTTTAAACTCTCCACCGATGAGGCTTTACTGCAACAACAAAGCTTCTATCAGCATAGCTCATACCCTGGTTCAAAATGATAGGACAAAGCGCATTGAAGTAGACCAGCACTTCATCAAATAAAAGCTAGAAGGAGGACGAATACATTTTCCATATATGTTATAAAGATTTTAGATAAATATTCAATTATTAAACCAAACTTGAAGAATATGAGAGATTTTAGGACTGTCATTGTGTTTTTAATGCTTTCTTTAGCGAAGAATCAGTTGTAACGTTGATCATATACATGGCTGTACAAATCTCCAGTTTGTAAAATATTGAGGATTCATTTTTCTTTCTCTTAATATTCAAACATGGCATCAAAGCAAGCAGTACCCTATCTGTTAGCCTCTTTGTGATAGGTTTGTTATGGTTCTGATGCAAAATTTAAGCCACATGATAGATTCATTATGCCTACATCTAAAGTTCATGTCAATTATAAAACCTTCATAAATATCCAAAGCACATGCACTCCTTAAGATCCCAATCTAATTCCTCAACAGAAGCCTCGTAAAGTTTCTTGGGGGGGGGGGGGCTGAGACATTTTTTTTTTAAATGTTCATGATCAAGAGTTCAAGGCAGCTGTTTGAGCTATGTTGCAAACTTCAGTACCCATATCTGACACTCTTGCACAATACATGGATATGACCTTCTAAGTACTTTCCTAATATATGAAAAACAATGATATTGAACATATATACAGTTCTCACACTCGAGTCCAAGTGACATAGGTTTTTCAGCATCGAATCCTATTCAGAGTATTCATGGATGAATCAGGAATTGATGTCTGAGAGAAGACTTCTAAGGTATTTTTTAGGACGGCCAGAAACCTTAGATATCATACATGATCATCCAAAATACAGAGTTCCATCACCATAGATACGCATTCTAAAGAAAAAACATGTTACCTTAATAAATTTCATGACAACTAAGTTGGATAGACTCCACAACCATTCATGAAAGCCAGTTGCAAAATCCTAATTGTTTAAACTTTCAGACTACACAATGTATGCTAAATTCAAGTACTAGCTTACATGATTATATATACCTTCAATTGATTTTTAAGTTCTGCAGAAAGTTGCTAACAGCCAGGGACCTGTACTACAAATTACAAAACCAACAACAGCTAGAACATCGTGGGACTTAAGAAGAACTAAAGCTACCATCTAACAGCCAATATGTATAGAGTAATTTTTGCAGATACAGAAACTACCAGGCATTTTTGTCACTCAAGATTGGTGTGGCGAGCTCGAATAGCCTCAGGGCTCTCTCCCAAAGCCTCGCCCAATTTATACACCACCATCTCAAACAACACAAACAATCCTCCCTCGTAAACACTCCCCATAGGCAGCAAAGTTCTAGATTTCTCCTTACCACCGCCATCTTCCTCGTCGTCAGCCATTGTCTGTGCTGCCACATACGCCACCACATCGGCATACTTCACACTGGATCCCGTTTCAGGCTGGGCAGTCAACAGCAAGACTCTACCACGGTGAGATTTTGCCACCGAGCAAATTGCGTCGACGGTGGAGAATCCACCAGGGCCGGCCGAGGCTATGAGAAGGTCCTTGGAGGTAATCGGAGGAGTGGTCATGTCGAAGACGAAGTGAGCAGAAAGGCCCAGATGAGCCAAGCGCATACAGAGGGCTTTCAGCATTAGACCTTCTCGGCCTACTCCGTAGAGAAAGACGCGGCCGTTTTGGGAGGCTATGGAGGTCAACTCTGCTACCATTAGGTCCAAGGCTGGTGGATCGGTAGTGGGTTTGGAGAAGATGGAGGCTATATGGCTGCAAATTTGTGAGGCTAGGCCTGCCATTGAAGCGCTACCAGTGTCCATGGTAAAAGAAAGTGAACAAGTGAACAAGTGAACAAGTGAACAAGTGAACAAGTGAACAAATATGTGTTGTGGATAAGAGTACAATGCTTAAGAGACAACAAATTTTTAAAAAGTCAATTTTTTCGCTTTATTTATATGATCAAATTATTCGATTTTCACGGGTTTTGATTCAATTTAATGTTATAAAATTTAATTTTAAAAAGAATAAAATTAGATCGAGTTTAGAGTAAAAATCTTCGATCTAAGATAATACTTTATAATTTTTCTTTTTATATTTATAAATAATTACTATAATATTTTTTATATTTTTCTTGAATTGTCTTTCTATTTTATGGAAAGATGAAAAAAATGTCGTATCGAATCAAGATCTTATCTTAAAATTAATTGGAATTTGAATAACGGTAACCACTTGATTTGAAAATTTTAATTTTTTTTACTAGAGTTGATGCTAAAAATCTCGACTTGACTCGATTTTTTTTAAATTTAAATAGAGTTATAAAATAGAACTCGAATAACTTAAAATTTTTAGTAATCAGTGAATTGATTTACAAGTTCGATTCGAGTCCCTCAACTTTGCATGTTATATCACATATGAAAAAATATGAAGAAAGATATATGTATATCGTATATGGTTATAGAAAATTGTTTAAAATCAAATAATATCATAATATTATAAATATTTACAATCAAATTTAAACAGACATTCGATCGACTCAAATTTTATAAACTCAACTCGAGTCGAAAAAAGTTCAAATAAAGTTTGAGGCATAGAATAAGATCTGTCAACTCAATTAACTCAAAATATTTTGACTCGATTCGATCAAATATCTATCCCTAGGTTTGAAATGTATAATTTTTTTCTAAACTTAAAATGAATTGAATAAAAAGCAAAGAAATATATTATTAGGTTCAAAATCAGGACTTGATGCAACTATTTACTAAAAAAGAAAATATTCAAATCAAAATCAAGTTATCAAAAATTCGATCCAATCTAACATTAATCATCTTTATCCATTTTTTAAAATTTTAAATATAAAATTTTAAAGTTCATGTTAAGTGTGAACGAACATAAACTAAATAATAATAATAATAATATAAAAACTTTATTACAAATCATATAAATAAAATAGTTAATTAAAAATATAAAACTCAATCCTTTCAAAATAGCATTTTAAAAAAATAAAACTAAAGTACGATTATAGTAACAAAAAATTTAAATAAAATCTTTCGTAGATATTAGCAGTAATTTTGATTTCTAGATAATCCTAATCCTCATATCCTTAAAAGTGATATAATTAATACATAATTTATTAAAAAATATATTAAATTAAAAAACCTTTAATTCTATATTTATTGTTCAATCAGATATTTAATAATTAAAACAACGTAAAAAGATTGGGGTTTCTTAGATAACAAGTAACTTGTTTTTCAAGTTTCAAACTTTTTATATAATAGGGTTTTCCTATTTTCATGATTGTTCTCTCTCACAATGAAAGAATCACCAGCTAAAAGAGACGACATGAAAGTACAACAAATTAAGAGAAGCCCAATGAAAAGAAGAAGAACACTTGATTCATCGCCGTTACCATCAAGCGTCTTTGACCAAGTTCCCACCGATGTATTGCGCTCTATCATCAAGAAGTTGAGTTTCATAGATGTGGTTCAAGCCAAAGCTGTGTGTTCTTCATGGAACTTAGTTGGAGAAGAGTTGGTTTCCAGGATGCCATGGCTTATGCTTCCATCTAAGGAAGAAGTTGAAGAAGGAGATGATGCTGATGCCAGAAACAACGGCTACAATGGGTTTTTGAATCTCGGTGAGAATCGAGTATATAACTTGAAAACGACGCCAAAGGAGTTTAGGGAAAGTTGCTGCATCGGTTCATCACACGGATGGCTGGTTTTCTTGGAACAGAAGGCTATCCCGTTTCTATTCAATCCTTTCAGGCAAGTTAAAATACAACTCCCTCCAGTTGATCGTCTTCTAGGTTTGAAAAGGATGGAAAGAAAGATGAATGGCGAATATGAGCTTGATTATTTCGAGGATTATAAGAAGAGTTGCAGGTTTTGGTTCAAGTGGTGTGGGAAACAAGAAGTACGAGCACGTTTTATTCAGAAAGCAATCCTGACAGGAAAACCAGATTCCAACAACGGAAACTATGGTCTTGTTCTGTTGTGCAATAGCGGTGAAGAGATTGCATATTACGAAAGTGCCGGAGACAATTCCTGGACTGTTATCGATGTTAGCCATGCACCTTACCAAGACATAATCTGCCATGAAAACAATCTCTTTGCATTGGGTGACAAGAACAGTGTTGAAGTATGGGACTTGCAACAAGGCAGAGCCGGTATCACCAAAAAGTCCGATATCGTTCTTCCCATTCCTGACAAGTTACTTGCGAAAGAAGATTCCGTAAAAGGTCTTTGCAGCAGCAGGTTTTACTTGGTGGAATCGTGTGGGGATCTTCTGCTCGTAGTGAGGTTCATCGGGGATTATGTGGATAGGGTGTATGGGACATTGCAACGTGAGTGGGATTGTTACAATGATTACTGTACAATTTCGTTCCATGTTTACAAGTTGGATTGCAATGGAAGAAAATGGGTGGAGGTTGAATCCTTAGGCGATCATGCTCTGTTCTTAGGAGGAAATCAATCCGTTTCGGTCTCGACTGACTCTTTTTCCAACTGCGAGAAGAATTCAATTTACTTCACCGATGATAACTGGGAGCGGATGGAAGATGATTTGTTATACGGTGGACATGATATGGGCATATATAACTTGAAAGACCAAAGTTTTAAGTCAATCTATGAGTTCTCTTCAGCCGGTATTCAGCCACCACCTTGTTGGATCCTCCCACCCGCCCTGCTAGAACCCTAGCAAGCTTGGCTGCAACTTTTTTTCTCCCCATAAAGTATTAATTTTCTTTGTAGTGAAACCAACAGTTTACTGTTAATCATATATGTTAGGTATGGCTCATAAATATACCAGTAAAGAGGACATGAGATGGAGTGGAGTGAGCGAAGCGAACATCAACTGTCCTTACAAAGAAAGTCTCGTTGTGGGGTTACGAATTATGTGGGTTGGGGGTGCGGGAGCGCAGCCCTCGCGGTACGGTACAGGGTTAATTTTGTAATTATGTACCAGGGTTTTCTATTATAAATAGAGATGTAACCTAGACCTAAAATATCATTTTTGAATAAAAACTTCTAGCGCCGCCTAGGCACCGAGGACGTAAGCACATTGCCGAACCTCGTAAAATTCTCGTGTTCTTTTGTTTTCTTTACCCGTTTTCGTCAACAATTGGTATCAGATGTCAGGAGCAAAATTCGAAGTCGCGAAATTCGATGGTCAGGGTAACTTCGGATTATGGCAAACGAGGGTGAAGGATCTATTGGCGCAGCAAGGGATCTTGAAGGCTTTGCGACCTACAAAGCCGGCGTCGATGGATGAGGAAGATTGGGAAGAATTGCAGCAGCGAGCGGTAGGAACCATACGATTATGCTTGGCGGACGAGGTCATGTATCACGTCATGCATCTATCGTCTCCAGACGAAATTTGGAGGAAGTTGGAAAGTCAGTTTATGTCCAAATCCTTAACGACAAAACTGTATCTGAAGCAGCGGCTGTATGGGCTGAAGATGCAGGACGATCACGATTTGGCGCAACACGTGAATGTATTCAATCAAATCGTTTCTGATCTGGCTCGGCTTGATGTGAAAATTGAGGATGAAGACAGAGCGATGATTCTGTTGTGTTCGTTGCCTCCCTCTTACGAACACATGGTGACTACTCTTACATATGGGAAAGAGACTATCAATGTTGAGGAGATTACTGCAGCCTTGTTGGCTCACAACCAGCGGAAGCAGAATGCAGGGGAAAGCTCTCAAGCCGATAGCTTATATGTCAAGGGCAATCGAGATCGTGGACGGAAGCCAGAGAAGGCAGGGTCCGGGAAGCGGAATTCCAGATCCAAATCCAGGGATAAGAAGACGATTCACTGTTACAAGTGCAAGGAGGCGGGACATATGAAGCGAGACTGTCCGAAGTTGAAAAAGCAGACTGATGAGAAGCGTGATGGCTCATCCAAGTCTGTGAACGTGGTCGAGGATGATAATTCTGATTGCAGTGAGGGTGATATGCTTTCTATTTCAACGACACAATTGACGGATGCTTGGATTCTTGATTCTGGATGTTCTTATCACATCACGCCAAATAGGGAATGGTTTTCGACATACAGGCCGGTTAATTCTGGTTCGGTTTATTTGGGTGATGATCGATGTTGCAATATTGTTGGTATTGGTGATGTCAGAATTAAGATGCACGATGGCTCCGTTCGAACGTTGAGTGGTGTTCGACATATCCCAGACTTGAAGAAGAATTTGATTTCCTTGGGCACTTTGCACAAGAATGGTTTTATCCCTAAGGCTGACGAGGATAGGGAAACCATTCGGATTGTTAAAGGAGAATTGACTGTGATGAAAGGCAAGATGACTGCAGGGAATATCTACAGATTGTTAGGGAGTACCGTTGCAGGTGGAGTTCACTCTGTTGAGTCCTGTGATGATACGACAAAATTGTGGCATATGCGCCTTGCTCATCTTAGTGAACGTGGTATGGCAGAATTACACAAGAGAAACTTGTTGCATGGTGTCAAAAGCTGTAAGCTCGACTTTTGCAAGTATTGTGTTCTTGGTAAACAGACTAAAGTCCGTTTCAAGACTGCGAAGCACACAACTCAAGGGATTCTTGATTATGTGCATTCTGATGTATGGGGGCCTTCCACGACATCGTCTTTGGGTGGATCTAGGTACTATGTTACTTTTATTGATGATTTTTCACGGAAAGTTTGGGTGTATTTTTTGAAACAGAAATCTGAAGTTTTTGAGAAGTTCAAGCTGTGGAAAGCTGAGGTAGAAAACCAAACAGGACGAAAAATCAAGTGTTTGCGGTCTGACAATGGTACGGAGTACACAGATTCACAGTTCCTACAATTCTGTAAGGAACATGGGATTCAGAGGCATTTTACAGTGCGCAAGACACCACAACAGAATGGTGTTGCGGAACGAATGAACAGGTCGTTGAATGAAAGAGTCAGATGTTTGCGGTTGAATGCGGGGCTTCCCAAACACTTCTGGGCTGAGGCTGTTAACATGGCGTGTTACCTTATCAACAGATCGCCAAGGGCATCGCTGGCTGGGAAAGTTGCAGAAGAGGTATGGACTGGTCATGATGTTAGTTTTGATAACTTACGGATTTTTGGTTGTCCTGCTTATGTGCATGTACCTGCTGATGAGATATCCAAACTTGATGCAAAATCGAAGGAGTGCATTTTTCTGGGTTACAAGAAAGGTGTCAAAGGATTCAAGTTCTGGGATCCAGTTGCGAAGAAAGTTGTGATTAGTAGAGATGTCGTTTTTGATAAACAATCCATGTTGCAGCAGAAGCAAGACACGACAGTGGTGGATTTCGAGCAGTTTCCAGTTGAGAAACCAGAAACTTCTCAACCGACTTCTGGTGGTTCCACTACGGATGATTTGCAGGATTATAGTCTCGCCAGAGACAGGGTGAGACGGACGAATATAAAGCCTCCGAACAGATTGGGTTTTGAAGACTTGGTATCTTTTGCACTTATTGTTAGCAGTGATGATCCGGTTACTTTTCATGATGCCGTTACTAGTCAGGAAAACGACAAGTGGATGGCAGCCATGGTTGAGGAGATGGAGTCTTTGAATCACAATCGCACATGGGAGTTAGTTCCCCTTCCTGAGGGTAAGAAGCCGATTGGTTGCAAATGGGTGTATAAGAAGAAACCAGTAGTAACAGAAAAAGAGGGGGAGAAATTCAAGGCTCGTTTGGTAGCGAAGGGTTTTTCACAGCAGAAAGGAGTTGATTATGATGAAATCTTTTCTCCTGTGGTCAGGCACACTTCAATCCGAGCAGTACTTGCATTGGTGGCTAGTTGGGATTTGCATTTAGAGCAGATGGATGTTAAAACTGCTTTTTTGCATGGTGATTTAGAGGAGCAGATCTACATGCGGCAACCTGAAGGTTTCACTCAACCTGGAAACGAGCATTTAGTTTGCAGATTGAAGAAATCTTTGTACGGGTTGAAACAGTCTCCGAGACAGTGGTATAAACGGTTTGACTCCTATATGATCAAGATTGGCTACAACCGATGTGAGTATGATTGTTGTGTCTATGTTAAGAGCCTTGATGATGGTTCTTTTATTTTTCTATTACTGTATGTTGATGATATGTTGATTGCTGCGAAGAACATGGATGATGTTATCGGTTTGAAAACTTTATTGAGTCAGGAATTTGATATGAAAGATTTAGGTGCTGCAAAGAAAATTCTTGGAATGGAAATTTGCAGGGACAGAGACTCAAGGAAACTGCGGCTATCTCAACGGGGTTATGTTGAGAAAATGCTAGAAAGGTTTGCGATGAGCAGCGCAAAACCAGTTAGCACTCCATTGGCGAATCACTTTAAGCTCTCATCAGAACAGTGCCCCAAGACAGATAAGGAAGCTGAAGATATGGCAAAGGTTCCATATTCTAATGCTGTTGGCTGCTTGATGTATGCGATGGTATGTACTCGTCCTAATTTAGCTCATGTTGTTAGTCAAGTTTGTAAGTACATGTCTAAACCTGGTAAGCAACATTGGGAAGCAGTCAAGTGGATCTTTCGGTACTTAAAGGGTACTGTGGGACATGGAATTGTTTTTGGGAGTCAGCGGGATAATCCTTTGGTTGTAGGATATGTGGATTCAGACTATGCAGGTGACTTGGATAATAGAAGATCTACGACAGGGTATGTCTTTACTCTTGGTGGAGGGCCTATTTGTTGGAAGTCTACTGTTCAATCTATTGTGGCTCTATCTACAACTGAAGCTGAGTACATGGCAGCGGCTGAAGCTGCAAAAGAAGCTTTATGGCTTACTGGTTTAGTGAAGGAGTTGGGTGTTCAACAAGGTGGAGTTCAGTTGCTTTGTGATAATCAAAGTGCTATTCACTTGGCTAAGAATCAGGTGTATCGTGCTAGAACTAAACATATTGATGTAAGGTTCCACAAGATCAGAGAGTTGGTTGCATCTGGAGAGGTTTTGTTTCAGAAGGTACATACTGATGAAAATGCCGCTGATATGTTCACTAAGCCAGTTACGACAGACAAGTTCAAGCATTGCTTGGACTTGTTGAATGTTTCGAGTTGTTAAAGAATCAAGGTAACCCAACCCACATTGAATTTTCCAAGAGGCAGGATATTCGCCAAGGTGGAGATTTGTTAGGTATGGCTCATAAATATACCAGTAAAGATGACAGGAGATGGAGCGGAGTGAGCGAAGCGAACATCAACTGTCCTTACAAAGAAAGTCTCGTTGTGGGGTTACGAATTATGTGGGTTGGGGGTGCAGGGGCGCAGCCCTCGCGGTACGGTACAGGGTTAATTTTGTAATTATGTACCAGGGTTTTCTATTATAAATAGAGATGTAACCTAGACCTAAAATTAACCCTGTATAGTACCGCGAGGGCTGCGCCCCCGCACCCCCAACCCACATAATTCGTAACCCCACAACGAGACTTTCTTTGTAAGGACAGTTGATGTTCGCTTCGCTCACTCCGCTCCATCTCCTGTCCTCTTTACTGGTATATTTATGAGCCATACCTAACAATATAAATATAGATTCTTTTTATTCTATTTTGGATTTTATATTTTCTAATTCCCTCTCTTCTTCCTGTTTCTTGATGCTCCTCTCATGTTCTTGTTAGAATAATAAGCCATAGTAGCAAACAAGTACGCACAATATGAATTAATTGCCAATTCAGTAGCAGTAGATCTAGAATAATACTAGAAATTGTTTATTGCTCAACGAATTCAGTTTAGTTGCTTAGTTGATCGATTGCCCAAACATGGGCAGGCAAAATCAACAGTTTTCTTCATCTGCTGGATCAGAAACAGTGCATGGTCCTGGTAAACATTTAAGAATATTAACTTCAAAACCGAACAATCTAAGCTGAAACTTGAACCCTGGTAAACATCAATTCGACAACATTCGGTGTTTCTAGCTCTGCTATTTTATTTTCCACAATATAGGCCCAATTCTTGCATTCATGGATGATATTCATTGTTACCACTTAAATTCTGTGGATATGAATGATTTTTTTATTCACAACAATTGCTCATCATGTTTAAATACTTTACTAAATGATGCAGCTGCCTTCATCATGCATCAATAAGTCGATTTTTATGGCTACAAACAATTGAAAGCAGCAGAGTTTGAAAAAAAAACAGGAGAAAGGCAGTGGCAAGAAACACCATCGAAGGATCAAGAACTAGAACCACAAGAGAACGGTTTAAAATCTACTGCTAGCTTTTATGAGATGATCTTTTCATCTGTGATATTTGTTCAACTCACAAATTTCAAAATTCAAATCTCTTAAGGAATTTAATGTCACGTTCTAATAGACCAACTAATTTTATTTTTTTTGGATAATTCGTTATTTTATTATCCAAGAACAAAATCTGTTACAAAAAACATCAGAGTTCAGAAACAAAGATCAGCCTATACAAAAAGAATCAGATCATTCTATACCCCAATGCTCACATAGAGTAATATTAACACTATCATTCCTATTAATATTCCTATCACTCAATTGTAGTCTAACAGTATCCTTAATGGTAAGGAAAAGATCTTGAAACAATCGTTTGTTGTGTTCATCCCAAAGAGTATAGATAAGAGCTGTTAGTGCAAGTTTCATGATCAAAGTTAGAAGGGATTTTCCTTTCCAATTAGTGCTTGCTCACATGATAAGATCTTCCCAAGAGCAAATATTGAATTGCATGCCAGAGGAGGAGAAAACAGCAGTCCATAGCTGGTTAGCCATAGGACAATAGAAGAACAAATGCTTCCTTGTTTCACATGGATCATTACAGAGAAGGCATTTACGGTCACTAATAAGCCCCATATGGTAGAGTCTATCTCTAGTTGGTAGTCGATCAAGTAAAGTCATCCAAGTGATTAAAGTAAATTTAGGAATGTGTAGAGGGAACCAGATAGTTTTTTGCCATGGAACTTGAGGTCTTCTATCACGAAAAGCGTCCCATATATCAGTAATTTTCTCTGTTCCAGTAGTAAGAATGGGATAAGCCATAGCTCGTAGCTTGAAGATACGCTTTAGGCTCCAGCTGAAAGAAGAACATATATCAAAATTCCAAAAATCTTTGCCTTTGAGAAAACTAATTGTGATATATATATATTTGATAAAACTAATTGTGATACTTAAAAATATTATTATTTCTAATAAATGATAATTTCTAAGCTGCTGCCACATCACCAATTTGTTGCTGCCGCCATTGACCCAAATTTTGCCGTGTTGAAGCTTCTTCATATGCCACACCACTTCATTTTCAGTTGCCATATGTTGTTGTAATTTCTTGAATACTCTAGTTGTTGCATGATATACTAGACTCAATATTTTCTAGAAATTTGATGACACTTTGACTCTTTTCAAGGAAGCTTTACCGATATCTAAAATGAAAAATCAGATTTGGTTTCCAACAAATTATCTGCTAGTCATTGTGGAATAGAAGGAACAGGTGGATTTTTTTATGAAGATTATGTGAAAACTGCTCCATTACTGGATAGCTGCTTGAAGTTGTATCAGGAAGTGAGAAAGGTGGCTGCAAACTGTGATATTGTTGTAAAACCAACTGTACACAACGAGTCGAATCTGTGCAAACGAAAGAACCCTCCTATGGGTTGGGTTAGGGTGAATGTTGACGGTGCAGTTAGGGAAAGAGATGGAGTTACTGTTTGTGGTGGGATTATTCGAAATGATCAGGGTGAATGGATCTTTGGGTTCTCAAGAAGTTTGGGAGTGTGTTCTCCATTTGGGCTGAACTTTGGACACCACATGATGGATTGAAGCATGTGTGGAGCTTGGGTTTTCAAAAGATCAAAGTCGGAACAGATAGCTTGGAGATTTGTAATCTTTTTAATCTGAAACCTATAACGATGCAAGGAATGCCATTGTAGATGATATTCGTGTTCTCTTGCAACAAGCGTGGGCGGTGAAACTGCATCATGTTCGATGGGAGAACAATCAAATTGATGATGCTATGAAACAGGTTATCGAATTTAAAAAAATACAAACATATTATTCAATTAACTAATTCTAACAAACAAGGCACTTTGTTGTTAAAATGAGACAAAAACTAACCTTCTAGTTAAATCAGGTCACTCTATTAATCATTTTTAACAAGCATGCCACTTTTTTTTTTAATAATTGTAACAATTCGACCATTCAATTCACTTATAGCTAAAAAAATTTATCATTCCTTTCATTTTTAACGACAAAGTGACTTGTTTGGTATAGTTGATTAAATAAGTTATTTGTTTGTAATTTTATTAATAATTGAGCTATTTGTGGTGTACTGTAACCAAAATTAAAACAAAGAAAATTAATTACGGGTAAACCACATTCCAAATAACTCAATTATTATTTCGATTACAAATAGGTCACATTTGTAGTGTATTTTAACCTAAAATTAAAACAAAATAAAATTAATCTTTGTGGACTAAAACTGTTAGTGATCCAGGTCATATTAGACTTTCAGTTCAATTTTAATGGCGGTAACCTATTTGTAATAATATTTTAATTAAGTGAGTAAATTGTATTATTTAGAAAATAATATGACATTTTTGTAACTAAACTGATAATTTGGTGATCTTTAATGTAATTTACCCAATTATCATATCAGGAGAAACGGGTTATAAATATGTACAAGTAGAAAACTCCAATGGCAAGAATCAAAGCCTCGTCTACTCACCAATTTTAAGACCAGACTCACTGATTTCGGACCAACTCGCTAAAAGAAATCTTTAGCGATGGCTTTGCAGATATGGGAGACTTTGAAGGATGCGATAACTGCGTATACGGGTCTATCTCCGGCCATTTTCTTCACGGTTCTTGCTCTGTTATGGGCCGTATACTATGTAGCAACCAGTCTATTCGGGTCATCCGATGATCACAATCATCAACGGTCCAGGGCTTTCCAGGAGGAACAGATTGAGCCGCTCCCACCACCGGTTCAGCTCGGCGAGATTACCGAGGAGGAGCTTAAGCAGTACGATGGGTCGGATTCTAAGAAGCCACTCCTCATGGCTATCAAGGGCCAGATCTATGATGTTTCTCAAAGCAGGTTTAAAGCTTTTTTCTCTTCTTTTCTTTGAAATTCCAGGTTTTTCTTTTCCAAATTTCAATTCTTTTGTTGGGGGTCAACGGGTGTGCTGGAGAATTAGCATTGCTTTAGTAGCTCTATTGGGAATGAAAAAGTAAATCTGGGGGGTTTCTAGAAATTACTTTAATTCTTATCTTTCTAGATTGCTTTTCACTTGCTTTTAGCTCATGGTTGAACTGGAAAGCTTTCCTGATTGCAGCCTTTTGCTACTCTGCTGGTTTCTTTTTAGTTAATTGGTGTTAGATTGTCTTTTTTATTAATCAAACAGCTTATGATTTTGCTGCCGTGAGTTACTCCATGTAATTACAATGAAAGTTTGCGTTTTGATTTCTTAAGATTGGATGATCAGTTCAAAAATTGCGAGATGAATATGATTAACCATGTATGATATTTAACCAAAATAGTTCATTGTAAGTAATATTCCGTTGCTTGATTTTGCTTTTCTAATTAAAATCCCTAGATTTTGACCCTGAATCACATGTTTTGACTGAGGGAAAAAAATGAAATTTGAATCATATGGTGCCCTTCTCTTTCATCTAGATATTTAACCCGTTTCTATGATCACAGGTGTTAGTATGTTTTTGTATCTCGGTTTTTACAAGTTTATTCAATTCACAATTCAATTAAGTGAAGTGATGAAACCGCTGTCTTTTTTGTGAACATTGTTTCTCTCCAACTAATAATTGGAGCACTATTTGTCAGTAGTTATGTAGGATTACGCTTCTGTTTTGTGTCTTCCTTGTCTTCCCTTTCTCTAATACGATAACATGCATGCACAGAATGAACACGGTCGAGAAAAAGACTTTGGTAAGCTTGAACTTGGTTGAGCTTAATTTGTTGTTCTTTTGTCACCCTACTTTATCCCTGTACGATATGGTGTCTGTCGTCCCCTTTCATCTAGATATTTAACCTTTTTCTATGATCACAGGTGTTAGCATGTTTTTGTATCTTGGTTGATACGAGTTTTTTCGATTCTCGGATACTAGTATGTACTCAATTCAATTAAGCGAAGTGATGAGACCACTGTCTTTTTTGTGAACTTTGCTTCTCTCCAACTAATAGTTGGAACACTATTTTTTTGTAGTTATATAGGATTACACTTCTGTCTTGTGGCTTCCTTGTCTTCCCTTTCTGTAATATGGTAATATGCATGCACGAAATGAACACGGTTGAGAAAAAGACTTTGCGGTAAGCTTGAACATGGTTGAGCTTTATTTGTTGTTTTTTTGTCACCTGACTTTGTTCCTGTCTAATGTGGCTAAAATAGTTATGTTCCCGTTTTCTCCTATTTGGTTGTATGGGTTATTAAACTTTAATTAATAGTTCCGAACTTTTAGAGTAACGTGCATTCCGTACAACTGGAGTACTATATTTTGAGGCTTGAGACTTTTTTTGTAGTTCCGTACTGGCTTGATGCTATTTTGCCATATATGAACCATGTGTAACGTGTTGGAAGTGCTCAAGCATCGCCTTTTCAAGTGATCTTTATCGTCAATTTGTGTTGAAACTCTTTACGATTGTTGAATTTGCTAGAGTCATGATTAGTCATATATGTGCAAGAATTATGCATCGAGTGAATCAGAAAGTCCTTGGCTGTTACCTGAAATGCAATCTTTCTTGCAGAATGTTTTACGGACCTGACGGACCTTATGCATTGTTTGCCGGAAAAGATGCGAGCAGAGCTCTCGCAAAGATGTCTTTCGAAGAGAAAGATCTAACGGGAGACATCTCGGGTCTCGGTCCATTCGAATTGGACGCATTGCAGGATTGGGAGTACAAGTTCATGAGCAAGTACGTTAAGGTTGGAAACATTAAGAAGACAGTTCCAGTAACTGAAGGGGATGCCAACAGTGAAGCCTCGGGAGCTGCAGAAACTGATGCTAAGCCAGCTGAAGATGGCCCATCGCAAAGTCCAGTTGCCGAAGTCGAGGAAAAATCCTCTACTGCAGATACTAAGGACGAGTAACGTGTTCGGGCTTAGCTATTTCCATTCGAACAGGTGATCAGTCTTTCTACTGGACTGGACATGCCAGATGAGACAGCGTTATGTTGTTCGAATGAATGCATTCTGTGAATCTTATTCCATATATAAACTTGTGTTAGTGCCAAATACTCTTGTAGCAAACTTGCCTCAATAAATTGGGATGTTAAAACTTTTGAGAATTAATTATATTCTATTTGATACTTATTAAATACCTTCATCTGAATTTGTACTTAACTTTTATTAAATTTGTATTTGAAGAGGTTTTGCTCTCGAGTCGATATTTGAATTTGAATTATTATTTTAATATTTTTATCAATGATGTTAATTTCTAATGATATAACAACATAAAATTATACCGCAGGTTTATAATAATGTCATTGTCTACTTTTAAAAAAAATCTTTAAAAATTATCAAGAAAAATATAAGAACTAAAACACTTAAAATATAAACATAGTTTTAATAATCATCTTCCTTTTTTCCCTTTGAATAAATGGCCAAAGATCAAAGATGTTGGTCTAACAAGACGCAATGAGCAAAACAAACAAACTTTGAACATTCATCTTTAATTTAGTAATCATCTTCTTCTTTTTTTCTCCTTTGAATTTGAGTCTGAATCTTATTTTTCTTTGGTTTAACGTGCCTTTGACATGAACTGTAAACGAAAACAATGGCTAATGGTAAATGGAAGTAGTTAATGCACGTGTCTATTTTAGATTGGAGGGACACGGTAGATGATTTTTGTTCACGGAAATCAGTGTGAAGCCGAGCAGCAGGCACATGTCACGTAAGTTTTACTCTTCACCTCTTTCCCATTTCACTGTTTTTTCTTACCGAAGCTGAAACAATTTAATACTTATAAATCTAAAAGGAGAAGTAGAGGAAGGGCAACATGCTGCTGTTGTTGGTTTACTTTCTTATACGAAACTCGAATCCAAGTGGTGGAATCTGAAGAAGGGGTTCTCTCGTTTTTGGTGTATTATTAAAATAAAACAAATAATTAATTAACATTGTGGAGTATATTACTTATCTTCGGTTGAAGCACTGTGAGTTTTGGCAACACGTGGTTTCTGAGGAAAGGAAAACCCTTTGTTTGAATGTAAACACTTTCCCCTTTTGTGGGTTCATCATCTTCAAGGCTTTGAGAATACACACCCTTTTATTTGTGCTTGTTTTCCTTGTCGTCGCCGGAAGGTTTTTTGCCTTTTGAAGGTCGAGACTTGTGAATAAATGAAGGACCAGACGGCTGATGACTGGCTACCACCTGGCTGGAAAGTAGGGGTGAAACGGAGAAGGAATGGTAAAAAAGATAAGGTATGTGTTATTAAATTGGCTGTTTTTCTGTCAATGAAGAATACCCATTTTTTCCCTTTTCTTTTTGCGGCTATTTTGTATCATTTTCAAGGTTTTAGCTTTGAAACTGTGAGATCCTTGGTTTGTTTGTTTTAACCTAGTTTTACTCCATGTGAATTCAATTTTTGAGCTTCTGTTTTGCATCAGTAGCTGGGATTTCCCCCCCCCCCCCCTTCATGTGAAAGACAAGATCTTTAAATTCAACTACTATAACTGTCATATCTAGCTCTTTCTATTTTGTTTGCTGCTTTATCCATCTGGTTTTATGGTTGCTGGAGGGTTGATGATGCAGTAATTATGTTGTTTACTGGTGAGGTTTAGTAGATTTTAATTTGTTTCATGTTTGAAGGAAACAAATTGTTCTTGTGTAAAGTTGTAGCAGTAGTTTGAAATCCTTGAAATTATTGATGAGAAATGAGGTTCTGATTCAAGTTCGAAATCCTTGAATTGCAAGGTTATCTATATAAGTCCATCTAACATCCTTCTGCATCATGCATGCTCAATGGTAGATCTCCGCTAACGATTCCAGCTATGTATTTTCTTATTTTCTGAGCAGGGTCTTTAACAAATTGAGGAAAGTTCTATTAGATTTCTTAAATGTGGTTAACTTCCCTTCGTTCCATGATCTTTGATATTGTTTGGAGCGGATGCAACGCTGATGGCTTTTCTAACTTGTTCCTTACTCTTTCTTCTAGGGAAGTAAAACGGGGAGCGAATAATTCTCTCTTTAAACGAGGGAAACACTCGTAGAGTTTATGCTTTTGTTTCCCTATTCTTTATTTACTGATGGTTTTTCAAGTACGAGACATTGGACCCCTAGCATACATTGACGTTCTTCTATGTAATTGATTGTCTCGTACCTGTTTAGCATTTTTCGTTTATTATGAATGCAAGGTGATTTGTTTAATGCTTACAGGACATTTGGTCTTATTGCAGTGTTACCATGCTCCATGTGGCGAACTTAGATTCAATTCGAGGGCAGAGGTGACTCGCTATCTTGAAAAGTGTGGTTCTAAAACAGAAGAGAAGGAAAAAGTTTCGGGCAAGAAACCTTCAAAAAAGGTCTGTTGATGAAATCTGAGCTTTTCCTTTAGTTTATAACTTTAAATGCATGTTGATTTTGCCGAAATTCGTTTGACTAAACAAGAAAATTTTTTATTGTTCAAGCAATATAGGTTACAGTTGAGAAGGCCGAGGCAGAAGGGTTGCCTCCAGGATGGACTAAGGAAGTCAGGATAACGAAGAGGGCAAGGAGAATCAGAAGAGATCCGGTACTATACATTTTTCCTCGAAAAATTCTCTTTGTGATTCTTCGAATACTTTTTCTTTAAATTTGATTAGTTGCCTTAACTATTAGCTGTTGACTATTTCTATGTTAATTGATATTTATATTTATGCAGTTTTACATTGATCCTGTGAGTGGATATGTGTTTCGTTCCATGAAGGATGCCCTTCGTTATGTTGAAACCGGGGAGATCGGAAAGCTTGCCTTCAAGCCTAAGGAGAAAGGCAGCAATGACGATGACGAGGACTTGGAAGAAGATAAGATCTTTGCAAATGTAATCATGTTTGGTTTCTCCGAGCTTTTATATTTGAATTTCTCATTTAATTCGATATGAAACTGTTCACATGTGGACTGTGTTGATACACATTACGCAAAACTTTGACCGGTTCTTTGATTTTTGTTTCCTGTCCCTTAGGAGCCTGTAACTGTCGAGTACCGGAAGGTAACTGTGAATGGAACAATTGATGAAGTGGAGAGACAGATTGCAGAACATGTTTCATATTCAAGTGAGATAACAAAGGAAGAAGAGATGCTTACTTCTTCTAGCACAGGAGACCAGACATCCCTCTCTAAGCATACTCCTGATCAGCATAAAGGTTTAAATTTACAATCCCTTGAATCTATCGTTTAATCTTTGGTAACGGACTGTATGATTCCGTAAGTCGGGGTGTAAGATTCCACTGATCTGCTTCTTGATGACATACTATAGTCTATAGGGTAATGGATCTGATCCAATTTTATCTTTTATACCTCAGCTGGAGTAGGCGCCGAGTTGAGCAGCTTGAACCTGTCTGAAGCTAAGGGCTCGGAACAGATAGGGCAAAAAGATTCTGAAGAAGGCGTGCAAGCTTCGGGCAATGCAGTTGGAATCCTCTCGCATAAACAGTGCAGGGATGATGCAAAAGACCGAACTGAAAAATCCCAACAGGGAAAGGGCAAGACCAAGAATAAGAAAGATGTTAGTGTTCCTCGACGAGCTTCGAAGCGACTTGCTGCAGTTGCACTTGATCCAACATCAGAACTAAAAACCACTAAAGCTTGCCTAAATATGATTAACCAATCAAATGTAGTACATGATGAAGCGAAGAATTCTTCCCCTGGTAACCGTATCGATAGGGCATCCAAACAGCTCAATCAACCCAAGTCTTCTTTGGAAACAGACTGTGCCCTTGATGCTTCAAAGAGTAAAGAACCAATACCGGCAACAAGTAACGTGCTTTCTTCTGGGGACGCACTGACAGTGAATGGTCATGTTGGAAATTTAGAAACAAAAACTAGTGGCAATGAAGATAAAAGTGTTTTGCCTTTGGGGAATGTTGCTATTTCAGGAGTACATTCTGGAAAGCTTGAAAGTGATGAAAACTTTAGTGACGTGCCGGGATCCGATATCGGCATGCCTCTTGCAGATTTATGGACAGACCCATGCATTGCATTTGCCATTCAAACTCTAACCGGAATTCCCTGTGATACTCCGAAAATCTCCGAGTCAAACAGTGGTAAAGTTCCAGGGATTCAAACCACTCCAGAAGCTCTTTCCGAGAGGGAAGAAAACAGAAACGGGATTGTTGAAAGGCAACGATGTAGTATTGATGTGCCTCCGACAGGTCCAACTATTTGGAAAGAACAAGCCGGAAAGGTTGAAAAAGGCCACAAGACAGACGAGATGGCCGGACCATCCCTTGAAACGCCTTTGGCAGATATCTGGGCAGACCCTTGTATTGAATTCGCAATAAAAACCCTAACAGGGGCAATTCCAGTCGAGTACGGTGTGGACAATCAGCATGGCCTTCTACAGCAGCCGATCTATACCCCACACCAATCTGGTAACCACTTAACCCTTCCAGACATTGGTATCGATAAATTCTCACAAACCGATTTCATATGCCAGCAATACAACGTCGCGGGTAAGTCCATGTCAAACGAACATGGTATTAGAAATCCTATATATAATTACACCCATCATCGTCGCGGTGGAGAGAGGCCATGAATGCCGAAGGCTATCAACTTCGAAGCCGTGTATAGTTCAGGAAACTAGCCGGAATTTAGAGAAAATGACTAGTAACCTTGTTGTAACCTCTTGTGTTTTTCATTAGTTTGACGTTTCGGTATGATTATTGTTTTCCGGTTGGGTACACATAAGTTTAGGATGTGGTTTGCATCATTAATCCCCACTTTGTTGTGTTTGGCACTGTGTGGAATCTGTAATCAAATACTTCTTTTTTAGTGCTGTTAGACGCGAGAATACTATGATTATATCATATGATGCTATAAATAATTAAAACACGATGCAATAAATACCATAACATCCCTAATATTATATCTTAGATTATTTTGGTCTCTGTCTTGAAAAATATATAAGCAAATTAATTCATGTGCATTTGAGCAAAGTGGTCCTTCTGTTAAAAAATTCATCTACTTTATCGTTAATTAACGGGATGATTATAAAATAATGATATTTTTAAACTATTTTACACTTTTTGAAATGTATATGGATTAGTTCGTCCATTTTTCCAATAGAGTGACCGATATGCAATAGGAGATATGGTACAATGACTATTATGGTACTTTTACCTACAAAAGTAACAAAAATAGATTTTTTTATTGAAACTCATTAAATATGGTAAACAATCTCTTAGGTTCCTCTTAAATTTGAAGTTAGGCAATTCGGTCCCTTAAAAGAAGAGGAATAATATAATTCTTTCAATTTCAAAAGTGAGTAATTAAGAACAATCAATCTTGATGTTGATGTTTCTCAATAATTTTAATTAACATAATAATAAATTTAACTTTCAATATTTATACATTATATCATTTTAGTAATAATTTTAAAAATTCATCAAATTTAACCCTTAAATTTACAAAATTAGAAAATCCGGTCATATTACATAAGCATTGATAGCTAAAGTTTCTTGTTATGTAAATCAATATTATGTAAAATTGACAAAAAGAACAGATAATATGTAATTATTTTTCTTAATCGCTCACATTTGAAATTAATAGGGACTGAATTGCCTTTTTTTTTATTGAGAGGGGCCAATTTAACCCAATTTAGGAAATGAAAGTGACCTAAAAGGTATTTTAATACATTAACATCATGAAAGCATCCCGCGCCGATCTAGGTTGCTATTTGCCGCCAATTCCGCACATGATTAATTGAAAGTCCCGCAGGTAAATATTCTCTACATTTTTCTCGTGCAGAGAAAAATTCAAGCAATTTTTACTTCATTAAAAAGAAAATGCAGATCCAGGTGAAGTGTAGCTGTGGAGCAGAGAAATGCCCAGAATGGGCAATAATCGAATTACAAGGCGTGGTTGAATTGCAGCCTTCTTTCCAAGATTCTTTCCAAAATCTCCAAATCGGACAGCTTTGCCGCCCTTCTTCCCAGGTTCTTTTTTCTTCTTCTGTTTTTGCTCTAGATTATTACAGTAACAATACTAATTACGAACCCCTTTTTGTTAAATATTCTGCAGGAGAACTTCACTTTTACGATTGGGTATCATGAACTAACGGGGACGAAAGTGGCGCTGAAGAAACCCATGTTGGTGCTGAAGAAAATCAAGTACATGGACGTTGATCGAAGTGACGGCGGCGGCCATGACGGTGCTTCTTCATCGAGCACGGAGCTCGATGTTGTCGGGGTTATTCGCCACAAGATTTTGTTCAAGACTAGGCCTAAGGCCCTCATTTCTGGTAAAGCTTTTTCAGCTTGATTTCTCAGAATTTTAAGCCTTTTCACAGTTTACAGTTACGGTAGAAGCAAAAGCCAAGAAAAAGAACATAGAGAACCTAATAAAGCATGGATTTTTCTTAACTTTTAAAAATTATAAAATATTATTATAACGTTATAATAATGATAAAAACTCCACAAATTTAATTATAATTTTATAAACTTTCCATGAATTTAATGGTCATTTTATAATTTGAGTATAGTTAAGCGATGGCGGCGATTTACTCCCCCCCCCCCCCTTCATGTTTTTGCAGTTAAAGAGAAGCCTAATGGTGCGGATGCTGTGGCACGAAAGCAATCAGAATGAAATCCATTACTAATAGTTTTTTGAACAATTAGAACAGTTTAGACTAAGAATCCAATTGTTGGGATATTGGAATGTATTTAAATAGGTTGAACTATGACCTTGGTGCTTCTATTATATGTCTCCAAATGCTGTGTTTTGCCACTTTGATCCGTGTTGATTGTAATTTACTTCCCTGGTTAATGGTGTTTTCAGTCTAGAAATGATCCAAGGAAATTTCTTAAATTTATTTATTTTCAAGTTCCATGAGAGAACAATAATGGTATTAAGGAGGTGTTGGATTTTTTAAATTTGAATGTTGATGTTCTAAATGAAAAAAAATTGGGTCAGAATATCCTTATAATGGATCTTTATAATACTAGATCTGAATTAATTGATCAAATAAATAGGACAAGTCATTTCAAAGTTGGTGACTTGCAAGATCAATTTTAATCAAGATTTGGAATCTAATGTGAATCCAGAATTTATTTACAGAAGCTACAAAAGCAGGGTAATTGCTACAAAAAAGCAGGATATTTTTAACCTGGTATCGTCCCCCCTCTAAAGCTCTAAGTTGGACCAGCCACACCTGCACGATTTCTCAACATTTCGGTTCTCTTGCTTCTTTCCATTACCTCCACTAACCACTCCGCGCCTTCTTTGATTCCCGACCTGCAGTTATAAGAAAAACTTAATGTTTATATCTCATTGTAAATGCAAGTGGAGTGAAAGATTTCTGCAGCATCCAGGCAGTGCAAATGGAGCTCAAACATACCCATCAAAAGCAGAAACATTCTCAAACATGTAAACCCTTTCATCCAATTTTTTAAGATCAAGATATCGTGATAATTCTTCGGCTGTTACAGCTTCGGAGAGATCCTACATTAAAGTACAGATGTTAAAAAGAATTCAAATGTCTCGAAAGAAAATCTTGACCACATTGTTTCATCCAATTTGGAACGATTTGTAAACAAGAATGAAAATAACCATCTTGCTGTTATTTTCTTTCCTCTCATTTCTATTTCTTACAAAGCATGCTCAATTAATTTTCTTCTCACTTTCCCACCCTCTATCCATTCTTCCATTTTTCTACTCAACCAAACACATCCTAAGATAGACATGAAACCAAATATTTCCAAGTCCAAAATGCCACGATACAGCATTAAATGCAGACATAGTTATAGGGTATAAAGAGACATACGATAAAAACAAGGATTTTTCATAGAAGCTTTAGAGAAAATGAAAGAATTTCCAAAGCTAACTTTTGGCGATTTACATAAGGACTATAGATACCTGCTTGTTTGCTAATATCAAGAGAGGGGCTCCCTGCAGATCCTCGTGTCTAAGAACTTTTTCTGGACCAAAAAACTAAAAGATATGAATAAACTATCATATACGCCATCACAAAACTCTAGTCAATACCCTATACCAGCAGAAACCCAATATTATTAAACAATTAGATACTACTTACCAAGTGCAGATTTTGAATCTTCAAAACGAGAAGGGCAGGCAGCATCAATTACGAATACCACAGCATGTGCCTCTTCATAGTATTTCTCCCAAATTGAGCGAAGGCCAGGCTGGGAAAGATATAGGAAAGAGGATAAATCTGTCACATACTGAGCTTGCTTTGGATATTGAATCATGCCTGACACAAAATATATAAAATATAAAAGAAAATGTCAAGCTTTGGCATCGAACACTTAACATTAAAATTCCAGGCTATCTCCCTTAAATACATTTCAATAAATTCGAGCAAAGTGCTCTGAAAAGAGCTATTATATACATCGACTAGATGAAACTCAGAAGTAGCATTCATGAAAGCATGAGTTATATATGCATAATGCATTCAATAACAAAGGAAATAATTAATGAACATTCTATTGTGTTATTTTATATATGCATTCCACTCACCTGGCCTCCCAGGTCCCAGAACACAAGTTTTGTGTTTAAAACTTTGACTCGACCAATATTAAGCCCCACAGTCGGAACAATTCGATCAGGTGGTAAGCCTTCCAAGTTTGAGTATAGGGATTTCAATTTCTCCAACAAAGTCTAACTCAGAAATAACAATAAGGATCAGCATGAAACTTTTAGCAAACTTTTCAATATAAATGAAACCTATTATTAAAACCCTAGAAATGAGTTTAGGGTAATCACTGTTTTCCCAGCCTTGTCGATTCCAAGAATCAGTACATGAAACTCTGTCTTACTAAATATGTACTTCCAGAGTCCATAAAAGAGTGAGAACATCTCTGTTTTGTTCAATCGATTAAATCACTTGTTCCTTCAATCGATTAAATCACTTGTTCCTTCAATCGATTAAATCACTTGTTCCTTCCAACCTTCACCACTAAAAAAGAATATCACCAACTCTCATCATTTACAGCCCCAAGTCCTGATTCCTGAAAATAGAAGCAAGCCAACAAGGGAATTAACTAAAAAAACAAAGAGAGTGAATCAAATATGCAAATAACTCGGCCTAGTCAAGTCCTCTAAACATTGTTTGAAGTCCTATTTTTCATTGCTAAAGTTATTTCAGTAACAATTCTTGTAATAGTATACAAATTTCCAAATCATATAAAATAAAACAACATTTGATTCCTTTTCAGCTTTTCCAACTATTCAGTCTAACATCTCAATATGCAAACATTCAACATTAACGAGCCAAATGCCCAAATTTACTCAACTAAACAAACAAAATTCGCCATAAACCATGAATCGATCGCTTTAAATATTGTATTTCAATCTTTAAGGAAATCAAACTAGAAAAAAACAATGAATCAACTGGATTCAATCGAGCAGTGAAAAATAAGGCTCAGATCTCATCTCCAAGAACAAAAAGGGGAAAAATGAATCCAGCATAACAGCATCGCAAGCTTAAAAATAAATCAATCAACTGCCAGATCGAGAGTGAAAAAAAAACCGAAAACTCAGATCAAATACACAAAAAACAATTAGAATTTGGAAAGAAATACGAGAAGAAATCCTTACTATCGATGGAATTTAATAGCATGATTCTGCTTACTCCTACCGTTGAGTCCTGTAAAAATAACTGAATAAATATATAAATTAAGAGCTGCTGCTATTAATTTCTAACGAAAACCACATTTAAATGATAAGTACATTCTAAATAATTTAGAGTCATTATCAGAGTTAATTCATACAAAACCTCTAAATCATTTAGCATTTGAATCATTCAGCGTTAGTAAACAAATAGCCCTTTACATTTTCTTAGTATATTATATTGGTAATCAATTTTAAAAATATATTTCGATCACTTTTATTATTAATTTATCATATTTTGATCATTGAAAAATAACCCCGTTAAATTAATAATATGATAATAATTATATTGTTTATACTTTATTAATAGAGCAACCGCTCTTTCTTCGACCTAATTTTTATTGATAGAGAATAGGTTAACCGTTGTTTTTTCAATCCAATTCTCATAAAGAAGATAAGACTCAATTTGAAATATAAGGAAGAAGCTTAGTGAGCAAGATTATGAGCGGCAACGTTAGCGGTGCTATAGATAAAGTGCACACGTATATGAGGAAAAACATTCAATAATTGTTATGCTTCAACAAGATGATAGCTCGTCACCGACAAATCAATACTACGATGGAGCAATTGACAAACCAAATAAGAAGCATCACTTTCAACGAAGACGTGCTATATGGAGATCAACAGCTTGACAAACACCTGTCGTAGGGGCACGAGCTTCGACAAGAGTAGGATCACCACAATCGGCCAACGACAGTGCATGGCACCATTCCATGTTCGTCGCAAGCCACGACGCCAGTTGCTGCAGCACCATTAACTTTCACCTTAAGGAAACCCAACGTTGGTTTATGCCATTGGCACCATAATCTTTTCTGTGTTCTCCCAATGTGTATTATGTTAAAAGCCAAAAAATATTTTAATTTCATTTTAAACAATAATTTTAAGGTACACGATACTAATAATCATTTTAATCAAACAGAATAAATAATACATATAATACATTACATGTGCAATGCATCACGATTGTTTTTTTTTCCTCTAAAAAATGTAAATATATTTCTTAATTTAATTATTAGTGTAGGTGCGTGTAGTGATGAGCAAGGAAATTGAGAAAACCGAAAAATTATTTCGAATTGAATTATAAGGTTTGGTTCAATTCGAGTTTTTCATTTTAAAGTTCGATTTAAAAATATCATTATGCAATTCGGTTCGATCTCGGTTTTTCCCTATGTAAACTGTTTGTTCTGAATCAAACCGAATTAAAAAAAAATTGTTTAAAACAATTTTATTTTGAATTTATTATAAGATGAATTTAAATAAATAAAATCTTAAAATTAATATTATTTTTTATGAATTTAAATTTTTATATTTGTACTCGATTTAATCTTTAAATTTGCTTTCTTTCGAGGTTGAGTTTAAAAAATAGTGATCAATCAAACACTGCAAACTGAATCAAACCGAACCAAAAACCGTGATTTTCATGTCATTCGATTTTGGTTTCAATTTTTAAAAATACGTAAAATACGATTCAATTCATATTTTATTAAAAAATCAAATCGAATACATCCTAGGTGCGTGTAACTTGCTTTCTACCAAGAACATAAATTAGCATCAATAGAATCAATTGTTTAAGGAATATTGACAACATATAAAGAGAGTTAAGTCGAATGATTTTGGAACACTTTGCATATTGCAATTCAGCTGACGGCTCTGATAATAATATTTTGTGTGAACACACAATATTTATTTATAATTCTTCGGCTTTTCCTCGTTGTGCTTATGTGATCCGAGCATATTAAAGTGAATACAAGAAAGGATAAAATACATTACAAGTCATTGTATTATATTGAAATGATTGCTTTAGTTATAAATTTTTTAAAAATTATAAAATATCTATTTAAATTATCAAACTATTATAAAATGACCATTACGATGTTATAATACCTGTAAAAATTTGTTAGATTTAATAATAATAATTTTGTAACATTTCAATAAAATTTAATATTTTGTAACAGTTTGATAAATTTAATGATTATTTTATAATAATTCGATAAATTTAATGACTATTTTATAACTATTAAAAATACATCAAGTAAAACAACCATTCTAACATTATTTAACGACATCTGATGTATTTATAAGTAAAAACATACACATATACATTTCTGAAATATGGAATATTCTTTTAGTGACAAAAATCAGTGTCATTCGGTTGAATAATTATTTAATAATATTATATATATATATATATATATGAGTATAACATTTTGTAAATATTTCAAGGTTAACTATACAAAGTCATTATATTTTTATTATTTTACTTTGATTATTCAACAATTAGTCATACAATATCATTTAAATGTTAATTAATAAAATAATTTATTTTTAATAAAAAAATATTGAATCCAACAAAAGTAATTTTTTTTTACAAATATATCATTTAAGATTAAATAAGGTCGTGAGCTTCAAGTATTATGGATGAAAAAAATATCATTTAAAAATAATAATAATAATAATAAATACTAAAAATATCCTCGATATTATAAATAAATGAGAATATATATAATTTGATAGCAACTTAATTAAAATTTTAATTGGGAATCTTTGAAATGAATTCCGAGCCTGTGTGAATTTCTTACCTTCTAGGCCATTATTTCAAGTAAAAAAAAATTAAATTATTCATGTTGATGAGTCAATTCGAATCGAGTTGAGATGAGTTTTACTTATCCCAATAGGACGGGGACAAATTTACTTTATTCTTGTAAGTTGTTACAAGGAACAATGGAGGTTAAGGTTGACATTTCAGTTAAAATAATTAAGCATTTTATTTTTGGGTAAAGTCCATAAATGTTCTTGATTATAAAGTATTACTCTATTGAGTTCCCCGACTATAAAGAATTATTTGGTTAAGTCCCTCAACTATTAAGAGTTACAAAATGGTCATATGACTATTTATTATATTCCAAACTCGTCATTTTCTGTTAAAAATTTGACTATAGTCTGAGCAGGGCTTTAATCTGCTGACCGAGTATGATAAAATCTCAAACGACTATCATATCTCAGTCCGCATGTTAACGTTAAGCTCAGACGACCGTTAAATTTTTAACAGAAAAAGACGAGTTTGGAACATAATGAATAGTTAAGTGACCATTTTTATAATTTTAATAGTCGAATGACTCAACAAAGTAACTCTCTATAGTCATGAGATAATTTTATAACTTTTAATAATCAGAGAATCATTTATATACTTTTACGCTTTATTTTTTATTAAAAAAAGCACAAACCATGAGAAAAATCAAACCAAACAAAAACAAATGAATTTTTGTGTGTCTGTTGTTCATAATATATAAAAGCACATTTGATATTTGTAGGAAAATTTGATAATCGAGTAGCATAAATAATGCCAATAAAATTATTGCAAAGTGCAAGACTTGTACACCTAATATGACAAAGCTAAAAGTCACAGTGTATACATAATCATTTGATGCCAATAGAATCCTGTTATATAAATTGCTTCATTTGTTCTCGACAACTACTTTTTATTTTTAGAAAATATTATATGGCATATACATATGATGCAATATTATTCCCCAAATCTTTTTTTAGCTTTAAATTATGATATCAAATTTAAAATATGAATAATATTTTTTTAACAAAAAAATACAGGTTTAAATTATATTTTTTTTATCAAAGTATTAAAAAAATTAGTCAAAGTAGATATCTGACGTTTCATTTCGTTATCAATTTAAGGTTAAACCCTGAACATTTGCTAAAAAGATTATATCTCTTGACACGTAACATAAAATTTTATTTTCTCAAAATAAAAACCTTTAAATTCTTAATTTCTAAAAAAAATCCTCTCAAACGGTCGGATATTCAGGCTGTGCAACTCATCAATTCGGTTCAAGTGATGGTGCAAATTTGTTAACGACTACGAACCAATGGACGATGGAGACGCGAAGACTAGATCAACGATGACAAGAGAACGACTACGAGTAACAAAATAATGATCAATTAAAAAAATGAGAGGTTAAGGTTGACATTTTTTTTATTAATCTAGTGTTATTATAAAGTAGTATTTGTTCAAAAAATTCTCAATCTTTTGACAATGAAAGATCCAATACCATTTTAATCTCTGATGCTCGAACCTGAAATCTCTAAGGATAATAATCATCTCTTTAACCACTAAGGTAGATTGTTTTTAACCATCTCCATAACAATAGTAATAATAATTAATCTAATTATGCATTTAATGTTATTTCTCACTCGATTTTTTAATTCAGATATAATCTGTCGAAAGGATCCGAATCTTGAGAAGTATATTTTTAAATATCAAATGTGTAATGTTTAAAAACTATAAGTACCAAACTTTACAAAGAGTGATAAATTCATATACTAAATAAGTACCATGCTAATAAGGATGCTCAAGGAAGCCTGCACCAATCTACTGTAGCCTAGTTTCGTTATGATTCCATCTTTTCATTAAAAAAAAGAACTCAAATCTTAATATTGTAAAAAATAAATTAAATCAGAATGCTTATTATTATAACAAACTTTTATAATATAAAATTTATATTAATAATACAATAAATCGAGTAAATACTAATATTAATAGTGTAAATATATTTAATTGATTAATTAAACTGGACATCTTTATTTTTCTATATATTTTTTAAATTAAAGTTCTAGATTCACTAAAATCATTCTCATTCCTTTTCTTAAAATCCAGAAAATGTTCTGCTCTTCCCTTATAAATAAGATTATAATTAGATTTAAAATTAATAAAAAATATTAATATCAGTATTTATTTATTTTTCATTTGCATTTAAAAATTAGTAAACTTACAACTAATCCTACCTATGATACTTCTTCTACCTTTTGGGGTCGGCTATTTATTGCTTCTGCAGTCTTTGCTTCTTCTCCTGTACACTGCCTTCCCTTAAATTGATTTCTCTCTGTCTCCTCCATTGCCAAAGGCTAAAATGGGTTGCAAGCCATCTGAAAATAAACCAAAAACTAAGCACAGGAAGGGCTTATGGTCACCTGAGGAAGATTTAAAGCTCATAAACTATGTCCTCAAACACGGCCATGGTTGCTGGAGCTCTGTTCCCATCAATGCAGGTTAACTTCATTTCCCTTGTTTGATTCTTCTAACACCCTTTAATTCATCTCTAAGAAATTTTCTGTAATAAATATTCTTTCTGGATTGTTCTTGCAAGGTGATTCATGTGTCCTGTAATAAATATTTTTCTTTTCTTGTACTTGTTTTGGTTTGGTTTGCCTGTCGGTGTAGAAGACATTGAAGAATTTTTTGCTTTTGTTGTTGTTGTTGTTGTGTTGGTTGTGGTGCTGATGATGCTGGGAGTCAACAAAGAATAAGTTTTGTGGTAAAAATCTTGAGTTAAAAGGAAAGCGATTGATTCTTTTATTATGTGCTGGAAAAGAAAAAGGTGAAAGGGATTGATGATGACTTCATGTTTGATAAAATAACTAAACTAACCTCTCAAACCACTTTACCCTGGTTTCTTTGTTATGTGAACTTAATAACTTGATATTACTCGAACTCGGGTATATGTCCGACATGAATATGTTGGATTTTCTAAAGAAAGATTTAGTCATGAAAAGTAAACATGATGTAATTTTTACTTTTTCCAGGATTGCAGAGGAATGGAAAGAGCTGCAGATTAAGGTGGATTAATTACTTGAGACCGGGGTTAAAGCGCGGCTCGTTTACGCCGCAAGAGGAGGAGACGATCCTCACCCTTCATCATTTGTTAGGCAACAAGTAAGCAACAGAGATTTCTCTCTATTTAGTGTATATGATGCCTTCGATGAACATTAAGGTTGCCGATGAGTCCTCGACTTATTGTCCGAGAGGAGGCTCTGAAACTAAGTCTTAGGTTCAATTAGTTATTCAGTTTTGATTGATTCTGATATGTCAATGAACTGGCGAGGATGCTCTATTTTGTATGCTAGGTGGTCCCAAATTGCACAAAACTTGCCCGGAAGAACAGATAACGAGATCAAGAACTACTGGCATTCGTATCTGAAGAAGAGGATTGTGAAAGCCGAAGAAGCCGAATCCCAGGCAACCAGGAGTCAGTGCACCACTTCAAGCTCAGAAAACAAAGAATCCGCATCGTCCCCTCAAAATCTCTTGGACCAAACGCCAAGCTATGCACCAGACAATTACATGGAACAATCCTTGGTAAATACTCATCAAGCCATTCCACAACATTTTGACTTCTCCAAGAACCCTCAAAGAAACCCGATTCCACCAAAGCTTTTATTTGCGGAGTGGCTATTGCTCGATCAAGAAGTTGGGAGCTTCACAAATTCAAGTAAGCCGATGGCTGCCTCCTACGGACTTAACCACTGTCCGAGTTCGAACTTCCAGGATCCGTTCCTGAATGCATATTTGTTAAACGAGGGAGCATATGACGATGATCTTCATTGTGAACTAAGCAACGCATTTAGCTCACAATTCAAGTTCGATACCCAAAATTCTGGAAATGAATTCGTTGGTTCTTTATCCAGGGATGATATATGTAGCGATTTCAATATAAACAACGATTTAATATACATATGAAAAAGCCTGAAAAAAGAAAGTTTATTTCACTGTATAGAGATGGTATACCGCACAAATAGACTAGAAGAGTTTGAAAGTTTGATTAATTGTTATTCTTCCATAAAATTGTTCTTGGCGTGCCCATGGTTGTTTCAAAGGACAGATTTCAACGGTGTATTTTGATATTGCTTCTCTGTTAACAGCAAAATTGTGTGTTTTCTTTTATGAACTCGATTCCTTTCTTGTGTGTTTAGTCATTTGGTTGACCTCATTTTTTTTATCATATTATATTTACTAAATCATTATTGAGATATTGTTATACCGACCTATTAGTACACTCCCGATAAACCCAAAGGCTCTGCGAAATCAATATTGGAATACCACCCAACATCACTTGATATAGCTTTAGGTATATTTCCCTACAACATAGACAAGGCAATCTAACTTGTTTAGCCGTTCTCTCCGATCAAGTAGGATGAACGGCAATGAATTAACATAATAGACCGTAAATCGACTTATTTATAAATTTTATTTCTAGTTATCTATCATTCTATGAATGTCACGTGACACTAAAGATAAAGTATATAAGAAGATTCTCCTAAAAGATAAACATACAATCTCTTTAGGTTCATCTCCACTTTTCCTTCTTTTTGGAGAGAGAGAAGTTGAATTTGATTCCTAATTTTCATTTATTATCATTATCTAGTGGTTTTCCGTCTAAACAAAAAAAGAAGTACGCTGCTATCAAAGCTAACCAATCTCCATATCTCTATTTGTACATCAACAAAGAGTAGAAAATTCCATGGTTTCATTGACTTTCTAAATGAAATCCAATGCTTAAAAAATTGAAAGTGCAGCACCACTCCCATGTCGCCAGACCTGTATGTATGTGGAAGAAGCCTTGCCTTACCTTACCTCATCTTCACGCTTATTGATATCCCGTCAGGTCAAGCATGCTTTGTCCTTCCTATGAGCTCAAATAGTAGTACCATAGTTCACCCCAAAATCATTGATACTCTCGGTGTTTTGTAGTTATATTCAACTTTAAATGAATTTGGGGTCGAACCTGGTTGAATCTTTAAAGAAAGATTTAAATTCTTGTAATCTTATCTATTCCTGAGATTTGAATCCAAAATCTTATGTAATAGGTATCGAATTATTTATTCAACTCAACAGACACACTGATCTCATAGTTAGGGTCTGGCCCATTTATCTGTCTATGGAAGAGAACATCCAAAATTCCCAAGGCAGCCGCAGTAACCCAATACGTAACCCACTGTATCGAATTTCCAGGCCCAAGTTGTACATATCACTCGGGCAAACCAAGTCTGAAAACAGATGAAAATCACTTGAATAGACTCGCCCCTTGCACGTGCATGCATCACAGAGAGAAAAACAAACAAAAGCATCACAAGAAAGTTGCATAAGCCACAACTAACATACATACTCTCCTCATCCATTTAAGGCAATGAACAGCGTGCGTGACACCTACTAAAAACTACCATTCAATACTACAGAGACATTGCCTTGCCTTGTGAGAATTGAATTGAACTGAACTGACCAGCACTTAAACATCAAAATTCCCAGCCACTCTCCCCACTGCCCCACATCACAGTTTTTAATAATTTAATAGACTTCTAATAACACTTTTGACCTTTAAACTTTATTTTTAAAAAGTCATTTCAGCCCTTAAAAGTTTGTTTGTCTGAATCTTTTAACTTCTAATCTTTTTTGTCAAATTGACCGATTGATGAAAAAACTGACGAGACTGTTAAACAATAAAAATTTAAAAATATATATAAAAAGTATAAAACCCCTTATTTTTTGTTAATTGGTTCAATTTAATAAAATATAGAAGTTTAAAGGCCAAAAGAGGTGAAAAAGTTTATAGACTAAAATATTTTTTCTGAAAATTTCGAGAGCCAAAATGTAATTAAACCTTTAACAAAAGTGTTGTTGCATGTTCCTCCACAAAGGTCGCTGGCTGTACGAGAGTGGTCCAACACATACTTATTACAAGGACGGCGAAACTACATCCGTCCTCACTCAGTCCCCTACACGCCATTAGTCGTTGGTTGCGGCGTGAAGATAAGTTTTAAAGTTGATCTTTACACAGCAAACAGCTTTACAATGGTTGCATATTGAGTAGATGAGACATTCAGTCGGCTTTTATCCATTGGTTTTTGTTTAGAAAACCTCGTTGGAAACCGCCATGTGAGCACAGAAAACTGACAGTGGCTGCTATTAGCCACGAACCCAAAACTCCAAATTCTTATATTTGGGTTTAAGAATTGACTATTAGACTGGGTTTATACTACCAAACATACTAAAACTTTATGGCTTAATATAATAATTATCAAAATTATATTTTTTTCACATTTAGTTTATTTTTTGTCAATTTGGTTATTTAACGTTTCTAACGTTATAATTTAAGTGTTTTGACAGTAATAGACGTTAAAAAAATTTAGTCAACCACTTAGAAGGTGAAATGTGATACATTTATAAAAAAAATTAATTTCTTTTAGAAAATCTTAAAATTGTTATTATCTTTCAAAAAAATCTCAAAATATTTCTAAAATCTCAAAAGATCCCAAAATCCTTAATATCAAAACATCCACATCGACTGCCTCTTACCTACCCACCAGTCGTCGTCAATTGTGACTTCAAACCTCCAAAATCTCAAAACTCAAATCCTTAAATCCAAACCCTAAATTTCTAAACTCCAACAACTATCAAACCCAATAGATGGGTTAGTGGATGGTGTACTAATGGTCAATAGGTGAGTCGATGATCGTTGGGAGTGATAGTGGTCGACGCCGAAATTAAAAGTCTTGGGGTATTTTATGAAGAATAGGAAAAGTTGGGCTTTTTATTAAAAAAATATATGATTTTTTATTAAAAATAAAGGAAAAAAATCAAACCACATGCCAAACACCGAATGGTTTACTTATTTTAACGGATTTTTTAACGACCTTTACAATGTATGCACCTAAATGATAACATTAAAAACTTTAGGCATCTAAATTGACAAAAAAAAAATTTAGACACCTAAATGAGAAATGATACTTAATTTGGGCACCTAATTCGTCCCAAACTAAAAAATCCTCAAAATATCAATGTCATATATAAAGATGGATATTTGACCCAAACTGGATGAGTTCCAACCCAAACTATAGGATCTACATATTTATATAAAAAAAATTGGGTTGACTTTGTGTTCAAGTCGATCTTTTAAAGAATAATATCGACTGATTTTATGGTTAAAAATACTCGATCTATAAATAATAATATAATTCCCTTATATATATATAAAAAGGATAGTTGCTACAATATTTTTATCTATATAATTTTTACCTTAAAACTATGTAAGATTTTAAGTGAGGTTCGAATTAAATGACAAATAAATGAAGTTATACTTAGATAGGGTTCAAATGGCCAAAACTCAACCTATCTCACCCATGATCATCCTTATCGTACTAATTAAGATTTTATGTATTAGTCTAACCATCAATTTAAATATTAAGCGTTTGACTTGAATATGATGTGAATTATATTTAAAATAATATGATCAAATGTTACATATGTGTATATCTATTATATTGATAGTTAAAAGATACGTATTATATTTCCTAATACATTAGATCCAAACTAATTATATAACAAATACACATACTATATTTCGAAAAGATTTAATTTAATTCGGCTTCAAATTCATCAGCAAGACTTATCATACACCTAAGTTTCGCACCTCGTGCCTTGCTGCAAACAAAAGAAAACTACTTTCCAATTCAGAAGCTTTTGTTACTAAGAATTATGGTAGATCTCTTTTGATTAATATATATTATAAAGAAGCTTCTTTATTTGTTCTGTAATGCACTAAGTTTATGAGTTTGACTCTGAGTCATCTTCCATTTGACATTTCTTTAACACCCTGCATCTCCAATTTCCTCGAACCAAACTGAAGGAATCCAACACTTCACTACACATTAAGCCTTCCCCAGCTGTTCAGAAACTACCCTTTTTCTAGTTTTCAAAGTTGTTGATCAACTAACATTGTTTTTCATTCAGAATCCCAACGCATTGAGTGGGATTTTAGCGGCAAACATTCAGCAGAAAAACTTAAGCATTTATACTACTCGAAAACATGTTTAAGTCATGGAGGAGCGACAAGAAGAAGATCAAAGTTGTATTCCAATTGCAGTTTCAGGCAACTCAGGTATCAGACTCGTAGTTAAAGAATTTAGAGTTACGAATTTTGGAAAGATCTAACCTGATTCAGCCGCTTTGTTTTCTTCCAGGTGCCTAAGTTGAAAAAGTCGGGGGTGACGATAGCGTTGGTGCCGGAGGATGTGGGGAAGCCGACGCTGAGATCAGAGAAAGTTGCAGTTCAAGATGGGAGTTGTTTGTGGGAGAATCCTGTTTATGAAACTGTGAAAATGATCAGGGAGATGAAAACAGGAAAACTGAGTGAAAAAATTTACCATTTCGTTGTTTCGAATGTATGCATATTCAGAAATTTGCTAAGCCTCTGTTCCTCCATTGTTTTGAGTTTCCACTGGTGACTGGTGTTTGCTGAGTTTTTGTTGTGGGTTTGTTGCAGGGATCTTCAAAAGCAGGGTTCCTTGGTGAAGCTTCGATCTATTTTGCTGATTTTGCAGCTGAAACTGAACCTGTTACAGTCTCCCTGCCCCTTAAGTTTGCCAACTCCGGTGCCATTCTACATGTTAGTTTCTCTCTCATTGTCACCCCTAAAAAAACTTCTGTTGATTTCACAATCTAATATGGGCATCACCGTAACTTGGTTTTGAAATTCATGGTGATCCATAGGTGACAATTCATAAAATTGAGGGAGCAGAAGATCAGAGGTGATACAAGCATTAATAATCCATATCTCTAGCCATTCACTATTTCTATTTACCTGTATGTAATTCAACTTTTGATATCAGATATATTCAAGATGGTGGAGATTTGACCATTTCCAGGGAGGGAAGCCTGCACAGCCAAGGCATGAATTACAGTGACAATCTCCAAAATTTAACAGAAGTTCGAAGTTCCCACTTGTATAGTTTAGCATGAATGATTTGGTTAAAACAACCCTGAAATTACTACCTGGACCAGATAGCTGTTTTATGAAGCTTACAACTAAACCATTCTTAAGGATTGGGACTTGGAAACTGCCGAATTATTTTCACCTCTACAGAAAAACTCGATGCCCCAGAGAGCAGCTGATACTGGCAAGAAGAAAAAGTACATGCACCGAAGAACAAACACGGATTGGTCGGGTGGTTCAACTTCAGATGGAAGTTTAGCTGAGTTAGCTAATAGCCCTGAAGACATCCCAAGAGAATGGCACAAGGGATCAAAAGATCCTGTTGAGAAACTCAGAAGTGAAAATGCTATGTTATCGAGGCAGGTAGAAGTACTGGAATTAGAGTTGCAGTCTCTTAGGAAACAGATTTCGAAGGAGAACAAATGGACCCAGGATCTGTCGAGACAAATTAGCAGCCTTAAAGAAGAAAGAGATGCTGTGAAGATGGAGTTTGAACAACTCAAGTCAAAGAAAAATATGGATGAGGAAGAAAGTGACAGTGGATCGGAGGATGAGAACGAGGGGTCAAGAGTTCTGCTAAAAGAAATTAGGCAGGAGCTGGAGCACGAAAAGGAGTTGAATGCAAATCTCCGTTTGCAGCTGCAGAAGACAGAGGACTCAAATTCTAATCTGATTCTTGCAGTGAGAAATCTCAATGAAATGCTACAGAAAAAGAACAGGGAAATAGCTCGCCTCTCCAACGAGATCGAAGCAAGTACGAGTGTCGAAGAGGCACGGTCAAATGAACAACATGATGCTGATGAAATGCACATGCTAAAGCAGACAATCACAGACATGAATGCAGAGTTGGAGTTTTACAAGAAACATAAGGAGGAGTTAGAGATGCATATAGAAGAACTGAGCCAGGAAAATGACAATATGTTATCACAGTTAAAGCAGAACCAGCAACAAGAATCAATGAAGACAGAAAATGAGAACTCAGAATATTTGGTTACTATAAATGAACTTGAATCTCAAGTGCAAAGACTAGAGGATAAAATCAAGCAGCAATCAGAAGACTACTCGGAGTCTTTAATCTCCATTAATGAACTTGAAAGTCAAGTCAGAATTAGGCAAAGAACTGGAGAATCGGACACAACGGTTCGAAAAAGAACTTGATGCCATGATACATGCCAAAACTGAGCAGGAACAGAGGGCTACCCGAGCAGAGGAGGCCTTAAAAACGACAAGGTGGAAAAATGCTGCTAATGCCGAGCGGCTTCAGGAAGAATTTAAAAAACTCTCAGTTGAAATGGCCGGTAGGTTTGATGAGAATGAAAAGACGACCATGAAAGCAGTTGCAGAAGCGAATGACCTGGAGATGCTAAAAAGAAATCTCGAAGAAATGCTCCAGGAAGACAATGAAGAGCTCAGGCTACTTAAAGATCAGACTGCGACCGAACGAGAAGACCTTACATACCAATTGGATCTCAACGAAAAAGAAATAGCAGAAATGTCAATGGAACTTGATGATAAGACTGCACAACTTGAATATGCACAAAAGCAAGAGAAGGAAAGGCAGGAAGTTTTCTCAAAAGAAATTCAAATTCTCAAGACTGAGATCGAGAAACTCGAAGAGCAGAGAAGCCAATTTTCTGATCTGGCAAAGCAAAGTGATGAAACCAAAAAAGTGAAGACGTCAAATGAAAAAACTGAGATGCTGATACAAAGATGGAATAAAGAAAGAGATGAATTGGAGAGAAAAATTGCTTCAGCAAAGAAGGAAACAGAGAGGGCACAGAAGCAATTAATTAGTACAAGGTCTTTGAAGGATAAAAAGGAGATGGTGATCTCAAATTTACAGTCAGAAATGGAGAATATTAGAGTGGAGTGTAATGACTTAAAACATAGATTGCTCCGAGAAGAAAGGGAGAAAGAAAAACCGAGAAAACAGGTATCTCAATTAAAGAATGACCTACAAAAGAAGGAAGAAGAAGTCAGCTCTATACAGAAAGAACTCGAAAGTACTGGTGGTCAAGTGGACATCACTGCGAGGAGCGGCCACTCTGCCGTGGCGCCTCAAGAATCCAAAGATATCACTAGTTTGCAGAAAAAAATGAGGTTACTTAAGGTAGCTATTCTAATAGAAGGATTAGAGACTAAAAATAGTATCTATTATGCATGGAAAGATTACATATACGTCATGTTTAGAAAACATCAACGGTGGAAGAAAACTGCTGTGGCATATGGTCTCCTTATCTAACCGTGAGATGTTTACATTATATGTTTTTATCCAATCTGTACATCCTAGACGATGTAAAAACTTTTGCTCTCATTCAGCAATAGCAAAGATTAATAATTTGATAATCTTTGGCAGGAACAGATAAACCTCATGGATGCTGCATTGAAATCATCAGCTAATTCAGCTCCAGAGAAGGGAAGTAAGCTCAGCAACATGATTGAAGAGCTGGAAAACATCATGGAACAACTCAAAATATGCCATTGCTCTTCTGCAGATCAGTGTCAAAAGGTTTGTGGATTACAATTACAAAAATGCTTTGAATAATATCGTTTCATGAAACACAACTAGACAGTGATATGTTAGTTTCATGAAACACAACTAGACAGTGATATGTTAGTTTCATGAAACAATCATAGAAGTAGTATTCAGAGATTAGTAACACGGATCTATAAACACAGAATGACCTTCTTAGTAAGCAGTAATGATACATAAGAAATAGGGACATAAATAAGGTTGTCACATTAAAACTATATCTATCAATGCATTAATGAGACAGAAGTTGCTTTAAGTCTAGACTTGCATTTAGTTCTAGACTGTTGCTCCAGTCTCAAGATTAGCCATTCGAAGAAGACCACTGCAGAAGGCAAGCCTTCCTCAACAATAGCAGTACCAGTTGAAAGGTATGGGCATATCTTTTTTTTTCTCAAGAATTATAGCTAATATTTAACCAATATCTTAACTGTAGATGGAGTTCTTTGACTGATCATTATATTTTTCCTGCCAATGAAAACAACAGTGATGCAAATATTGCCAAATTGCTAAGTGAAATGGAAGGTCTTAAGGAGAGTAATAAATCTATGGAGCGTGAGCTTAAAGACATGGAAGAAAGATATTCAGAAATAAGTCTCAAATTTGCAGTAGTGGAAGGTGAAAGACAGCAACTTGTAATAACAGTGAGAAACCTTAAGAACGGCAAGAAGAACTAGCATGTTCAAAGGCGCAGTACGTTGGACAAAGAACACTATGCAGGGTGAAGCAGCTAATCCTCTAAAAGGAAATATGTGTGGTAGTTAAATCAAAGTCCAATCAAGAAATCTTTAATCATTTGAACTTGTGAAATAGCATTCTTCCATTATATTTTGCTCATCAATCCTGTTAGGAACACTGAAATATTAGATTCAACCAAGTTGGTCGAAAGCTCAAGCAGTAAGTTTGGATATTGAGAGTTTTATATTTTAGATACCTAGAGACCTGATAGAAATATAGGAACTGATTTGATGTCTCCGTTTTGCTCAATAAATAAAAATTTAGAATTAATTTTGTGGAAACAGCGCTAACAAGTCAAGCATGTCTTTGTCCCCAGTCCTGGTACTTCTCTTCAAGCTAACAACTAATTTCATCAAGATGGAGCTTTTCTATTTCTTTGGGTGAATTTTAATCCTACTCTCAACAAAGATAAAATTAAAACAAAAAAAGAATCATCCCAACTAACAAACAAGCCTGAACACATCACACGTGACATCAATTAATGGTTAAAATCAAAAGATGCTTATGCATCACATATGCCGTAGGGCAGGAATATTCACATGCAGCTGCTAGCAGTGCTTGCCCCAACAAAAAGTTTTAGTCCAAGTATAAATTCATTTTGAGATTCAATCATGGACTAGCCTCTGAAGCGTTTTTATAAATGCTAACTGCCTGCGCGCTACTCAGTTCAAAATTTATGGCCGATCAAATATTCGTGGCATACGGACCGTGCTTTTTGGAGCTTACAATTGAGCCTTTTGGATACATTCTTGAAAAATGGGTCACAACTGCACCAAGTTCATTGAATATTTAAAGGATGATCTGCATAAAACAAGTAAAATGTAGATAAGATCGTTTATCTCTGTATTAAATCTATTTTCTGACAGAAAAGACACTGCTGCTGGGCAGAATTATCGAGAACTAACCTGCTAGTTCCAGAAATGGGTCTACCCTTTTTGTTTCAATCATGATTACTAATAGCGAAGCTTTTTGCTCAAACCATGAGCTCCTCCTTCATTCCAAACCAACTTAGTTTGACTTCCACTTCCATTCATTTCAAAAGATAAAGTCTAGAGGAGAAAAGTTCACGGTTTCAATTGCACACATATGCAGTTGTATCATTAGTACACGTCAAATGATACCAAAGGTAGTTTACAAACCTGTCTTGCTCACTTATCAATAGGTGTCGATGTTTGAACAAGGGAGGATGAATTCTTTTCATTCTTAGATGATCTGGTTGCTTGTGGACGTCTTTTCTGACTCCTTTGTTCTAGTATTTTCCTAGGAGTGTTACCTCCTTGGTATTTGAAAAATTCAAGAATTGAAGGACTTCTTCTCTTAGGAGCTTTTGCTATATTTCCTGATCTCCCTAAGGGTGAAGCAGATGTAGCAGAAGGAAGATTCTGCTGACGGAATCTGCTCTTCTCTCTGACTCTGTTAAGAAATTCTATCGTCCAAGGTGAACCTTGTTGTGGATGGTTTGAAAGAATGGCCTTTGAGAGTGATGTTGCACTATGATTTGATGCATCATTTTTTAGTAATGAGTCTTTGCAAGCAGCAGATCGAGCTAAAACATCCCATACGGGTTTTTCTTGGTTGCTGGAACCTTTTTCTAGATTACCATTAGTTCCTACGAAACTTTGTCTAGGACACGTTACAGAACTCAACATATCTGAACCAGCGTTGATCTCCGAAACATATGGGAAAACAGTATGAGTGCCTTTGGAAAATGACAGTCTTCTAGCAAATTTGGACTTTCTAGTAGAATCCTTCTCTATCTCTGACACCAAAGAGGAGAAACGAATAGAGTTACCAAAGCAAGAGAAACCCTCACCAGACATTGGACTGTCAACAATGTCAGTAACTTCACCTAGAAGGTCTTCATGCCGATTTTCAAAGTCATTGATGTTTTGCCAGTCCAAACTATTCAGCATAGCCATATTTTCTCCCAGGTTGTAACCCCATGTATTATCTTTCGAGGGTTCACTGAGTTTGGGCCTCTTTACCTCTTTTAACATCTTAAGACCTTCATAGATGTGAGAATCATATTGCGCAAGAACTTGAGGGGGGAAATTATATTCCTGCATTTGATCAAATATATCATTTAAAGATGAACTGGGCCTTTTGTACTCCTTGGACATCTCAGAACCTGTAGACATCCAAGAGTCACATGACTTAGACAGTCCAGAAGGATGCAGGAAATCATCTTTGCATTGGTTCAAAGGCTCGAAATGCAGGGTTTCATCCATAATTGTGCTGATTTTATCAGGGCTATTTATGTGTTTGCCTTGTTTTCCTTTAGAACCAACATTATAATGACAATTGTCCAAGTCAGGACCAGAAGATACAGAAGAAGAGCACTCTGTCATTATAGATTTTGGGTCCTCCCGCTCACCGTACCTGCACAAAGCACTGAAAAGAGCAATACTGTCATCTGATACACCGTACCTTTGAACCGCATGAATCCTGCGTTCATGTGACCACTCAAGGAACTCAATGAGCATTCCTCCTGAAGAGAGTATTGCGTGTGCCGTCAAAGGATTAACTGACGGAAATCTAGTAAGGAATGATTCCGCAAGAGTTTCTGAATCAGGCATCTTTGGATACAGGCCCCTGTTCATCTTAGCAGCATAGTCAATGCAGTTCAGTATTATTTCATCAGTTGTTTCAGATGAATAAGAACAAAATAGCTGGAAGTCGATCCCCAAACTTGCTGCTGCTGCATAGAGTTCAGCTGAGGAGTCCATTACAGTGGAAAGGAAGCCATTGTCTCCCACGAAGACCTTGAACAGAAAGTACATACAAATTATAGTAATTCAAATTTCAAATAACAATAATTTTAATGTTTTACTTAAAATAGTTCACAATTTCCATCTTTACCAGAGCAACATTTATCTACACAATGAAAAAAGTTGTCTACCCTATGGTTCATTTTAATTTTCAACCTAGGCTACAAGAAAGTCCATGCTTAAAGTGAACGATCAAGAACATCACCTACAACTACTTCAAATCAGCTGATTTGTACTAAGCCAACAAAAGATGGCTACGAATGTGAATAAGCAGCATCAAGTTAATTAAACCCAGTTTGAAAATTTTACTTTTAAAGTTGCTTTTGTAGGTCATTAATTACTTTGAAAACCTCTAATATCAAGGCAACGTAAGAAATGACTAGAAGCAAATTAAAGATTTTTCGCTAGAGGAACACTAAACCTAGCCAAAAATATTGATGGAAAGAAAGGTACTAGCAAGCATAAACTTCGGTTTATCTGTTTCTAAGCATATCAAGATCCCAGAAACAAAAACTAGCATTTACCTTCTTGAAACTTATGCACTCTCTTATTCTGAGTCGTTAAGACATGAAAGTCAACGTTCAAAAACTGATCTAAGTTGTGAAAATTACCAGGAAACAGCCACTGAAAGCAAAACTCAGCAATGTTAAAAAATTAGTTGCAATATTCTCAATGCACAATTGTAAGCACGAGGATGCTTCATCCAAAGTGGCAGCTTTTCTTTCGATGTTTCTGCAATCATACCATACTAAGCAAATTGCAGAGCTAATTATGACATCCACAGGAAGATTTGAATCACGTTCAACTACTTGAGCTCCTCCTTTCTCCATTGCAAGAATTTTGTTATATGTACTTCTTCTGGATACAATCATTTCCTTATCAAAGTTTTGCATGTTCACAATAATTACTATGTCCGCCATTCTCTGCAAAGTTAGATTAGTGTCAACTGCAACTGGCTGAGGCATACAGTGTACTTCTTTATCCCCACTGTTGACAGACCCCTTATTATGCTTGTCTTCAATTGGTATAAAGTTCAGTAGGTCCTCCAATTTCTCATAATTCACATTATCATTGGGACCCAAGATTGAATAAAACTCCCCTTCCTAAAACATTAGTAGCATCATCAGAGTATGTCTGTGATTACCACTATGATATGATGATCAATACAATTACATGAAGAGTTCACAACATGAGAGAGGCAGCTAATTCCACAATGAAATACTTTTGCTTGTAAGTTTTAGAACCTATTCCTTACAGCAGTCCCATTTTGGCAATTATTTTATGTAAATAAGGAATTTGTAATTTTTTCGTTCTTAAGGAGTGAAAAGGATATCTACTTCAATGGTCAACCACCAATTTATCAAGCACCTCTATGGCAAATCTTTCATGCATTCCAATTCGTCCTAATGAAATTTTCTCAGCTTCTCATACTCGAGCAACATGCTTAAATTCAGTCTATACTCCAGGGGGGCCGGGGGCAATCTATCTTTTACATGCAATATTTTGTTCCTACTGTTCACTCTAACCAGATATTTCAAATTTGGCGCAGAATTGATACTTCCATCAGTTTATATGAATCAATATCTTTTGAACTCAGTATTACTAAAGTTAAAACATTGGTCTTCTCGTCCTATAATTTTATTCAAATTTTTACACAGAATGTGAGTCTGAATAAAACTAAAATTACAAAAATCGTACATCCACACATTTGGTTCAGCAGTTGGTTCATGATCCCTACAGAGAAAAGAGCAGGTTTGAATCTCCCCTTCCCCAATTCAAAAAGTACATGAACAGTAGCAATTGAAGTTAATCGCTTACAAACACATAAAGTAAAGATATCATCAATGAATAGATTAACAGTAAGGAAGAAGAGACTTGCCATCAACTTCTTTTTAGTCTGGGGAAGATCAACCCCTTCACAAAGTGCTTTGGAAGAACTAGAGGCATCCAGTTCAATCTTCAGAAAGTGAAGATGAGTCAAGCCAACTAAGTTGGGGGTAAAAGAAGATACTCTAGATGAGCCACAAAAGCCTCCATATTCCACAATAAGGTTTAACTTGTTGAATGGAAACGATGCAGAAACATTCCTTGAAGAGAAAGAAAGAAATATCACATATAGCTTCATAACTCCGCACAACAAGCATACTCTTAAGTATCAGGAGATGGGCCCACCCACTTCAGAGTTTTATCTTTAGTTTCCCATAATGTGCAATATGTTGCATTCTTAATCCTTGATTTAGGCTTTTAAAAGTTGGATAAATTTCAAAAACATCTCACATGCTTTTGCTATGAGAAATAATTCAATTAACCTACATGGTTTTAAATTAAATTTGTTGAATACCAACAATATCTCCGAAATTTAGTGAGCATTAACAATCTTATCTAGGAATATTTGTGCATTTTCAGAAAATAGTTATGTCTCCTTTTAGAATCGCCAATCCTTTAATAGTAATTACCTTAGATGCATACCGCTTAAGTAGAGAACTAGGAATAAGTCAATGAATTCATGAGTACAAATCTGCATTGATGGAGACTAATATGGCAATGAGGTTAGAAACATGTACTTTTGTGGATTCAAGTACCAAGAATTCTTCAATAACAGTGTAAACATTGCTTCCTTCAAGCCAACCCATGAGTTACACAAATGTCGCAATTGAAATGGTTGGTTTATTTCCTATGTCCCAAACAACTTTATTAACTTGATTTTTCACAGAAAAATTGAAAAATATTACGTAGCATCAAAAGTGATTACTGATAAACATTTTTGCAAATAATATACTACAATATATTATATATTGAAGGTTTGGAACTTACTCCTGAGACACCAACCACCAATCTGAAATCCGCTGAGAATCCATCTTATAGGAATCTGATGGATCTGTATTTGTGCAGAAACTTGATAACTCATTCCAGGATAATACCATTGACATCAACAAACTCTTCAAGGACCACCAGAAAACTTGCTCTGCCAAGATCAACACCTTTGAATTACCTGAGCTGGTTTTTGACTGTAAAATTCCCTGTATAACACAGAGTGAGGGGTGTGATATGATTATTTCCTTCTCAACTTTGCCATGAGCATCCTCAATCAAAGAATGAAGGTAATTTAATATTGACTTAATGCATCCAAGGCTTCGACATAGCTTGTCCGCATATAAGTGAGCTGCATTGATACCATAGAAACACGTGTACCAAGCCATTTGCTTAATTGCACACAACGTAACAAATGCCAGCATACCCATTGGTTCAGCTATGTCCGCATTCAGCTCCACGGACCTGCTGCATGTAATAGATGTCAAGGGACTAGAAAGGATGAAGTATGCACATTCTTCTTTCCTTTCTTATCTGTTGGTATTCACTGTGGCTGAAACAATGGAAGTATGGAACTCAATAGAAAACCAAATTAATCCATCTTTTCCCTTAATCAATTTTCCCACTCTGCTCAGCTGGCCTCTTGATGAAATCTAACAGTGATTTTTTCCCTCCTTTTTTAATTGTTCTTTAGTTATATTTTTCTAAATTGTAACTAATAACTTAATCCAGGGATTAAGCAAAATTAGAAGATAATGCTTTTATTTTCCACTGCCTTGTTAAGTGCTGTATCTTCTTCAAATATAGACGCCTACAAAGGCGTTAAATGTTAGTGATAATGTTGCTCATACTCAAGCACCTTGGTCTCTTGATTTTCCCAGAAATTACCCGTGATTAAAACGAAACATCTCCTTAGAGAAAGAGGGCAATAAATTGATAAGACTGCTCTTCTCTTTCCTTGTCATGAAGGTTTCATATATTCCATGCATCACTGAAGAGCTTTTGCCTTTGATTCCTTCTCGGATTTAGAAAGATTCACCATGAAGATAGCCTGTCTGGTGCTTCATTCCCTTTGTAACCTTTTCGGCCTCTCCCAGTTTACAAGGCTGCTCTCCTGGTGAATTTCTTGCCGTTTTCCATATTGCTCATCATATTTTAGTCAACATACAAAGTTTAAAATCTTAAAAGGCCCGCAGAAGAAAGAATGACATCTGTAGGCTTATGTGAAACATGCTTATAGTCTGGTGAAAAAAAATTGGGTTCAATTTTGCAACAATATATCATTGCCCTCCTTCATTAGAGGCGTAGAACGCGTCACCTGAATAAGGTTTCATTCTTTTAGTTTTAGGAATTGCAACAGGGAGAAACATGTAGCTAGGTTTCAAGAAACGGGGATCTTCAGGCTTCTTCTATAGTTAATGTTTTTTTTATTATTATTATTTCTCATTTATTGATACTATATATAAGCACTTACAATTTCTGGCAATCCTCAAATTTCATTCTTTGTATTCTCCAGTACTCCCAACTATCGACTTAGAGAAGAATATCAAAGACACCTCCTTCATGTCGACTTCCGGGTACTCGGTAAGCTTTTACAAAATCCTGTGCCAAGTTTCATGTTGCTAGCTTTAACAAGGAATAGTCTTTTATATTCTTGGACTCCTATTGCCTGGTCAGTTTTTCAGTCGTTTACCTTTGTAGTCATTCTTGAAAGCATAGCAATACAAAGCATGAGAGATATAGGCACTTGCTTGGTAGATGAGATCAAGTGGCTTAGCATGCATGAAGATCAATGGTGAAACTCAACCCTCAACAATCAGCCGCGCTGCTCTTTATTTATTTTCCAGTAAAAGGTTTAATGGTAGCTAGAACTTGAAGATTAATGGTGGGAAATCAATGTTTTACCTACTAGTTCTATTTCGAATGGCCAGTTGTGCCGTTCACTAGTTAAGATGATTCTTTCTTTTAACAGTGAAGGTGGGGCTGAGGTATTTTATTTTTGTTTGTCCCGTCCTGTCTCAATATTTTGTTGGATAGACGTGACACGGGCGGAACAGTTAAGAGCGAGACTATGGTCAGTACAAACTACAAACCATGCCAACAATTACAAAGCACATAGAGAGTAAAACAACTGTTGATGGTACAAAGCATGCCAAATACATTCGACTTTTGCTTTTATGAATAATAAAGGCGGCACGGGAAGAATGTAATGAGTAGGGATGAACGACATATTCATTTTCGATGAATTTTAATTCAATATAGTTTTATACTATTAAATTTATTTTAAAATTTGAACTCTGGTGCGGATCAAATTTTATAAAAGAGAGAGGGTTTAGTTAAAGTTTAGGAGATATTTAGGAAGGTGTTTTACAGAATTTTCTATTTGGACTGGCTTCATCTTTATTTAAAATTTTAGTGGGATTTGAGAAACATAATTAAACGGCGAGACAGGTCGAGTATAACCTATGTCAGTAGGTAACAATCAACCATCTAATTATAGTCTGCTGCTAAGACACTACTAATTCAACAAGAAACCGAAACCCCTTTCACATTGCTCATTCAGTTTCTTGAATTAAAACAACTCTTTCTTAACCTTTTCAGTTAGGCACTTGGAGACACTCTAAAAACTTTCGAGGCAAAGTAATGCATTCAGATGATGATATTTTACCGATCGATTCTCGAACACAAAATTCATTTCTTTTCTTCCTTCTTCTCTTCTTTCTTTTCCTCTTTCTTCTCTTCCTTCTTCTCCTCTTTCTTTTCTTCCTTCTTTTCTTCCTTTTTTTCTTCCTTAGCAGGTCCGATTGATATTATATCAACTTTGCCTACTTTCTTCAGTTTCTTCACCACCGCCACTGCATCCATCTCCCCTATCACTGTCAGCTTCTGATCCTTTAGATCCGCCGCTATCGAATCAACCCCTGTCCGCCCACAAATTCCACATAAAACAAAAGGAATCTCTGTAATTTCCATGATTTGTAAAAGTATCCCATAGAAGGATAAGCACACACAATCGAGGTCTGATTTTTTTTTTAAAATGATATTGTATGCAAGGTGTTTGACAAAATACCAAAGATATCTGCAGCAGCTTCGATGGATTTTTGCTTGGTTTTGTCATCGGTCATGGTTAGAACTTTCAACACCACCTTCTGCTGAAACGGTGAAACGAGATTACTACACGAGACATAGTGGGGAAGAAGAGGAAGAACAGAAGAAGAATAACATCGAGATGATAAATATAAACAGCGTGTTAGTAGAATCATTAAGAACAAGGGGGGGGGGGAATCACCTGTGCCATTTTGCTGTGAAAAAAAATGTGAAATTGAGATGATTAGGAAAGTAAATGAACTTTTGAGGACCAGTTTGGCCTTTTATAAAGTGTGAAATTTGAGGAGGTCCGCACTCTGATTAACATGGGAACCTTTTGTGTATGGCGAGACTTGTGATCGTATGGACAACGTAAGGAGTTAGATGTACTTTTGAATGAAGTCTTAATTCGAGTATGGTAAATGAAAAATATATTAAAAGAGTTCATCTTCTGAAATAAGTTTTGATACAAATTAATTTAAAATCATAAGATAAAAGTACAATCCTTAACCACTATATTTCTTTATTTTTTGTCATTCAAAATTAGTTTTTATTTAAAGATACATTTACTTTAAAAGTAGATCCAAATCAATTTTTTCAATCCTCTCTTCAGTCAATATTAATTGGTATGAAGCTCAAGTAGTGTCTTAACATGACAATTTAAGGGCTTTTTAGTCAGTTTCAAGGATATAAAAAATTAGATTAAATTTTAAAACTAAATAAGTCATCAAACTACGAATTAAAATTAATTTTACTTTTGAACTCCATAAAAAATCAAATTTGCTCTCAAAATCAATTAAGAAAACACTTTATCATCCATATCATGTTATCATTTACACATAAATTAGCACATCAATACCGCATATCATCTTAACAGTATTATTAACTGTCACATTAATACTATGATGAGTTAAATTAAAATGCTATAAAAAAAATTGATATAATTAAAGTTTTAAAATAAAATTATCAGTTTAGATTTACTTCAAAATAAAATATACCTCTAAACTATTAATTTTATAACTTCCATATTGAAATTACAAACCAAAGTACAGTAGAGGTCAAAAATTGGTTGGCAGTTTCTAATATCTCATTCTCCTTTCCAGAACAAGTCAATTTCAAATATTCTGGTGAATGGACTGCGAAGGCAGGATGAATGGTTGAGGACAAGTTGTAAAAGGGTGGCTTCTATTTTATCTTATATATATATTTTTAATTTTCAAGATTCTTCCATTCAAAAAGTGAGTAACAGAAGCATTTGCTGACATAAAAAAGTACACAAATTATTTAAAGCGATAATGATTTCTTTGACATAAAAAAGTGAGAATTATTTTAAAGCCTTTATTATTACGTTCTTTTTTGAGTTCAAATCATTTTAAATATTAAATATATTTTTTTGAAAAAATAATTTTAAAAGCATTTTTATTCTAAACATGAAAGTTAAAAATGTTCATTTTTATAAAAAAAATAAATTTAGCTGACTCTATTCTCATTTGTAATGGGATAGGGGGAGGTAGGATAGTAGGTTGCTCCCAACGCCAGGTTGAGAACAGCTTCCGTGGGAGTCCGACAGTCAGAATTATGACTTGCCCACCGTGGGACTCGATCCCACGACCACAAGATTAAGAGCCTTGCGCTCTACCAACTGAGCTGGACGGACAATTCAAAAATGTTCATTTTTATGTTTTTGAAAAATACATTTGAAATAAAATCATGATTTTACCAGTTATTTCTTTATTATATGGTGTATTTATTTTATAATTTATAAGTTTATAAATTTTTCATCAAGACATAATTATATAATTAATAAATTATTTATACGTTTACAAATTTATATCTTATCATGTTTTCTTAGACAGATTATTTTATATTTTAATACTTCAAAATATAATATCTAAAATATTTTAACATCAAAATTAAACACATAAATATTACCCTAAACTTTTAAAGGATATTTTCTAGAATCAATTTTTTACGTCGCTTTTTGAAAATAATGCTAAACTAATCCTGGCCCTAAGATTAAAAAGGATAAAATCAACTTAAAAATCACAATAGAATTATGTTACCACTATTTTTAATTAATAATGAAAAATAAATAAATAAAAATGATAATAAAATGAAAGATAGAAGTATAATTATTAAATCATCAACTTAAAATTTAAACTTGCATTCTTTCCAAATACAGAATTAAAAGAACATGCATATATATTACGTTCACATGATGGAGCAAGCATGCGGATTATCGTCACTGAAAAGCGAAGCAACGGCCTCATCAGAAGCAACAGCAACGGAGTAAACGGCCGGGGTGTGGAAGAAAGTATGAACACCATCGGAAGCTTCATTTTTGTGATAGTCATAGTAATGGTTCACTATGTAGGTTGGATACTTGTAAAAGGATGCGTAGTGGGAGTATCCCGGAAATGGCCACACCTCCGCTGCTTTCCCCGCCCTTTTGATGGCTTTCAGCACCTTCTTTTCTTCCAGGGCATAGCCTTGGACTGTGATTTTTTGTATCTCCATTTCTACTTCCACTTCTTCAACCCCTAAAAACAATGCAAATGGAGGATGTTGTTAGCCTAGCATAGCATCTAAAATTTCTGGCCCATATTGGTCTATTGCTAGATTTGGCCCATTTTAAGAATTTTTACTCTAGGAGCATATAAGATCATTAAATTTATCAAATTGTTATAAAATAAATTTTAAATATATTGAAATTTATTATTATTTTATAATGTGCAATGATATTTTATAACAATTCGATATATTTAATGATATTTTATAACTTATAAAACTCTAAATATCATTTCAACCTCGTTTACCATTTGGCCTTGGTCTTCTTAAAACGAGGAAATTATTTTGTAGTCCCTTAAGAAATCATGAAATTCTGCATTAGTCCAATACAAGATTACACTTTGGTCCGTAAAAAATCTATGATTTGATTTTGACTCGCTAAAAAAAATTCTGAATGTGTTCCTGCATGCATACTAATTTAGGTTCTAGTTATACACTTGCTTAAAATTTACACAGACTCCATGGCAAAGCTGGAGTTAATGAAAGAGAAACAAAGGCAAAATCAATGGATAGAGAAAATTAAGTATACCTTTGAGCTTTAAGAGAGCTTTCTTTAACTTGGAGGCACAACCCTCACAGTCAAGGTTTGGAACTCTTACTTCAAGCATCTGCAATAAGTTGAAACACATTATCAGCACCTACAACAAAACATCAACTCCAAAGCAACACAACAGACAGAGAAAACTCACTGCAGACATAGTTGGAATAAGCTTCCCAATACGAGAGACGGCAAATTATGGGAGCTGTTCACTGGAGTAAAAGAACACCGAGAGCTCTATGTTTTTTGCAAGTGCTGGGGGTTTTAAGTGCTGTGATGAAGGAGCCTTGGGGTTTGAAAGTTGAAGGCATGGGGGACCTTTCACGCGTGGGATTGGGAAAGCGAGACTTCTTTTCTCTCTCTCTCTTTCTTTCTCAATGCCAATGTAGAACGCGACGCTCTCATATGGAATGATTAACAACACTCACAAATCAAGGGCACAACACAAATATATGAAATATATGAATGTCCCCCCATTTTACGTAGGACCCTTCATGCTCTTAAACATGCTTCTCACTTTAATTAAGGCTTAAAAGAATCATTTGTCCCCTAAATTATATATATGTTTTATTGAGTTGTTTTCTAAAATTTTGTTGGTCTCCCATAGCTACTAAGTTCTAACGTTTAGTTTCATTACCCATTTTACTCTATTTTTTAACACTATTAAAAAAAATTAGAGAACAACTCAAAAGTATATAATTTATGAGATATATAAGTTTTGGATTACGATTTCTATCTTGTATAGTCACATAAACACTAATTGTACTAGAAGTCAAATAAGATTGGATCTCTAACTAAGGATAAAGGTCCTTACTATTTCTATTCATAAGATTTAAATCTAAAATTTTATATGAAAGAACATCAAACTTCTTACCACTAAACACGACAAATATTCGAAATTGTTTAATTTAAAATATCTTCCCACTATCACCCACAATTTCCCCACCCCATCATGTAATGTTTCCTTGAAATGACGATGATCAGCCATGGTCACAATTTGTGATCAAGTTCAATTCAAAGTGAAGATTTCAAAGCCCTAAACGAAAGTAGTAGCACTAGCTTCTTTCCCATTAATTGCTGTAGCTTTCTATTGTGTGTGGCGAGGTCCTCCAAGACACTGTTTACAGTGCGCAGAAAGTATAAACTAACAGAACCAAAAACAATTCGGCTTTACCGAATCAACTTTAACGCTGCAAAAACATTATTCTTACTTTGCTACCAGTAAAACAATAAAAAGTCCATTCTTCGGACAACACAAAGATACGCTCTCACATGAGCTTAAAACTTGTAAAAAATCACTATTAATATATTAAATAATTTTCTTTTTATTAATAAGTTAATTTCAAAATTAAATATTATTATGACTATGTGGGAATATTTATATTTTAAATTTTACTTTGATTCAGATCTTAATGTGAATGCTGTCTCGAACATAGCACAACCAATTAGGGATGTTCATTCGGTTAATTCGGTGGCCGAACCGACCGAATTACCATTAACAGAATTAATCAATTTTTTTTTCTTTAACCGTTAACCGAACCGAATTTTTTTTCGAAAATATTAACCGAACCGAATAAAGTTCGGTTAATTTTCGAATTAACCGAATTTTTTTAGAATTTCGAATTTATATAAAAATTAAATATTTTTTAATTCAAAAAAATAGTTTATAATTAATTTAAATAATATATAATTATAAAATAAAAATTTTATATAATTTTTTTAATTAATTAATATTGATTTAAGTTTAAAAGTTATTGGATCTTAAATTATTAATTAGGTTTTAAATGGTTTAGGTTTAACCTATATGTTATATATATATATAATATTTTTTAATTTAAAAAATAGTTTACAATTAATTTAAATAATATATAATTTTTTAATTAATTAATATTGATTTAGGTTTAAAAAGTTATTTAATCTTAAATTATTAATTAGGTTTTAAATAGTTTGGGTTAAGTTCATATGTTATATATAATATATTTAATATTTAAATTTTAATTTCGGTTAATTAACCGATTTCGAACCAAATTCTAAAAAAATTATTAATCGTTAATCGACCGAATTAATTCGGTGACCGACCGAATTAATCGAACTAATTCGATTCGATCAGTTAACCGAATTAATTCAAAAATTTAAACACCCCTACAACCAATAATATACATTCCCTTGACAAGCTGCAAAGTATAAGAACTTGACGTGAAAGAAAGCTGAAGAAACATACAGTCTCTCTTGTCTCTTCAGAAATGAATAAAGGGAATTTTAGGGTATAATTTGTTAGGATTGTTTGGGAGCATAATCATAATATAATTATAGTGCTTTTGGAAGAAATTAAATTAAATAAAATAAAATATTTTATGCTGACAACCCAACGGATTATTATATTTGAATACAAACAGCACTCGTTGTCAAAAACCCCAATTTATTAGTTAATATTTAATAAAATTTCCGCAAATAAATTTAAAATTTATACATCAATAACGAATCACACATTAACATTTTAAAACAATATAAGTGATATTACAAATTTAATTAGTTCGTGAATTTTCATAGTGTGATTGCATTAAACACGGATTTTTAAGTTAAACTTAAAGTTAAGTAAATATGTATTGTAACAATTTGTGATGTTCTGGTGTATCGATAATGTTAATATTAACTTATGTAACTCATGGGGTATCGACTGATCATTATTTTGTTATAATTAGCGTTTACTCTATTTAGGATGTTTTGGTGTAACTTTTTCGTTGGATAATAAAATAAACAATTTGTGGGAGTTTTTTTACGATTTATAATAATTAATTTTGCTCGTATTTGTATTAATTAAATTAATTATATCTATAGAATGATAGTTTTATAACTGTGATTTTAAAAGATATTATCATTAGAAAAAGGAAAGACCCTTTTTTCTAGGCACATGTGTCCCTCACTTTCTCCAAGACCCCAAAATCTAGTTTAAAACGATTCATCACGAATAGTTTTTAGTAAAGTTCGGTACGAGATGGGATAGGCTGTATTTTTATCGTTCTGATTCTTATCTAAAATTAAATAAAATTATTAATTTTTTGAGATATTTTATTGCTTCAAATTTGTTTTGAATTGTAGAGTAAAACTTATTTTTATCCGACATAAATATTTTTTTGTAAACTATTATTCAATAAGATAAAAAATAAAAAAAATATGAAATATTATAATAATTATATCAAAATATATAGAAAACAAATATAGTAATAATATAATGTCGAGTTAGTTCAAATTTTTCTATTTTTAAATTCCTGATTCGTCTATTGGTAAGTGTAGTTTGTGATACATCAAAGAGTTTTAAAATTTAGGGACGTCACACTTAAAAAAATCTATTAACCTATAAAAAATATTTTTTCATTATAAAATTTAACCCAAAAAAAACCTTCTAATTTTCTCTCCTATTATCTCAATAATTCAGTTGTTATCAAATTTTCTTAAAAAATCATCAAATTTATGGTATTTAGAGGACGAAAAAAATCTTATTTATGTCCATTTTAATTGTATCTTCTTAAATTTGAATATTTTACAATTTTACCTTATAATAAAAAATTTTAAAAATCACATTTTAAGAAGATAGCACAAAACCTACATACCTTTTGAGACAGGCGTGTTCGACTCCCCTCAACTCGATGATCTCAACGTCGTCGGACAACGCTTGACCTCTTCGACCTTTCTTTCACCTCTCGTTGCCCTTGTTTTGTTCTAGAGGTTTATTTTCCCTTTCTGTTTTTTGTTTGGACTCTTTGAAAACCTCAAGCCCATCCCTGGTTTGTTTTTCTTTTGAATTTTATTGTGCTTTGGGCCTCAAGGGAGTCTATTTTGCTGTTGGTTCCCATGGTTGATTGCATTAGCTTTACACACTACACTACTATTATTATCTATCAACATAATTATTCAAACGTAAAATAAGAATATATTAATAATTTTATCCAATTGAGGAAACTCTATGTATGCTAGAATGCAACTTATTATAATATGATCGGACTGAACTCGGGCATAAATTGAGATTTATTTATTACTAATTAATAAAATAAAATAAAATTTTAAAGTAGGGTGTGTCATTCACCTTTAGTTTTCTTTCCTATGTTGGTTTTCATGTGTTACAGACATATAATGTTCACTTTTCATTTAAAAAATTTGAATTGTCTTTTGTTTATGCATCTGCCTAATATGTGACCCATCATTCTTCATGTGCTCATCACATTCCTTTTCATGCTTTTCTTTTAAAAAAAATTGAATTGTCTTTTGTTTATGCATCGCCAAGCTTGGCCGTCGGGGACTTATGGGACGCACGGTGCCACCACAACCTCCAATAGAAGTCCGAAGCGTCCTCAACTTTAACCAAACAAAGTTGAGAAGAAGATTTCCCACTGATTCCGGTGGTCTCTCTATTGTTACAATTTTTTTGAGGGTGCGTTTGGATGAGGAATGTGAGATTACCGGGGGAATATTTTTTTCCGGAATGTGATTCCCCTGTTTGGATTATAAAGATTCTCAACCCCAAATAATAAATCATTCCCAACAATAACAATTTGAAGGTTTATTACCGGGAATGTGATTCCCCTCACTCCCTTAGGTATGTTATTTCCTGGCATTTTGGACTAAAATATCCTTAAAACAATTTTTTTTCAAAATTATCCTTCTTTTGTCATTGAATAAAAAAATTGTATGAAGGTTAAATTGCAAAGTTATCCTTAAACTATTTTAGATTTATAAAAAAAATCTATAATTAGAATTTTATATGAAGTTCAGTGTTAAAAAGAAAATTAAACCCTTTCATTAAATCTATTTATCTTTTAAATTTTGTAAAAAAAATTATATAAATTTTATGAATTTAAATTTTTTAAAGAAAATATATAAATTAATTATAGTAAAATTATATATTTTCATTTGAATATTTAGAATTCAACTTGTTAAAAAATAAATATATAATAAGAACAATTTGGTAAAAATATACATTCCAATAATCTTTTATTCCTTTAACCAAATATTGTAATCTTACATTCCTGCTAAACGAATCAAACACAACAATGCAACATTCCCAGTAATGTGTTAGGTAATGTTATATTCCGGTAATCATATTCTCTGAGGTGATGCTACATTTCGTGAACCAAAAGCACCATGACTGCCACAATACTATCTAGAATTAAATATAGTAAATATAATATTTGAGTGGGTTACTATTTCATTAATTGAAGCAATTGTG